CGAACCGACGCACATAATTAACGAACCCTAAAAAACTCTGCAGCTCCGTGATGTTTGTCGGGGGACGCCACGCTTTTACCGTATCCAGCTTCTTTGGGTCGATTTCAACTCCAGCCTCCGAAATAACGTGCCCCAGAAATTCTAACCTATCCTGAAAGAACTCGCACTTGGAACCCTTGGTCAGTAGGCGATGTTCGTCTAAAACCTTAAAAACCGCTTCCAGATCCGCTAAGTGCTGCTGCTTGTCCCGACTGTAAACTAGGATGTCATCGAGGTAAACTATGACGCATTTATCTAAGAGCGGCCTAAATGCCTCGTTCATGGTCATCTGAAAAGTCGCCGGTGCGTTGGTTAGCCCGAAGGGCATCACAGTGTATTCGAACGACCCGTACCTAGTCCTAAATGCTGTCTTGGCGCAGTCCGATGGTTCGACCCGAATCTGATGGTAACCCCCCCGTAAGTCTATTTTCGAAAACACTCGTGCTGTTCGCAGTTGGTCGATCAGTTCGTCGGCGCGGGGAATGGGGTATCGCGACTTGACTGTTACCCTGTTCAGTGCTCTGTAGTCGATACACATGCGAAAGCCCCCGTCTTTTTTCGGCGTGAACAGTATCGGTGCGGCGAATGGTGACGAGCTTGGCCGGATGAACTTTTTCTCTAACAGGTAATCTAACTGCTTCCTTAGTTCGTCGAGCTCGGGCTGTGTCAGTCTGAACTGGCGCTGTACGGTTGGCTGTGCCCCTGGTTCTAATTCGATTCGGTGGTCATGTGCTCGCTGAGGTGGCAACCCTTCCGGTAAGTCGTCGGGAAAAATCCCGGGGTACTGTTTCAACAGTTCCTGTAATTCGGGCGGTACAGCTTCCAGCAGTTTCTTGAAATCGCTCGGCTGCTCTGCTTCCTCTACTACTGCGATATCTACTGCGTACACGTCAGCTCCAGCAGCGACAGCCCGTTTCATTGTGATGGCGTTGACGTGCACCGTTGAAGACTCGGGCGACTGCCAGCGAGGTAGTTGGACCCAGTTACCACCACTTCGCACGGTGCAGCTACCCGTCGTCCAGTCAATTCGTGGGTTATACCGTCGCAGCCAATCGCGCCCCAGTAAAATGTCGTGCCCATCCAGTGTTGTCGCGAGCATTTCCTGTGTAAACCCAAAATTTCCCCCGCAGCGGACTTTGACTCTCTCCACCTTTTCCCGTATGGCCAGCGGCGTGCCGTCGACTAAGCGTGCGTCTATCTCCGGTAAGCAACGGCTAAGTGTCAGTTGCAGTTTTCGTGCGGTTGCGGTATTAACTAAGCTGTGGCTCGCTCCTCCGTCAATAAAAATCTTCACTGCTGCTCCCTGTATTTTCCCGTGGATCAGTACTGGGCAATCCGTCGCTGTACCCTCCTTATTCATCCGAGCCCGATCGATGGCGTGAATCGGTACTGTGACTCGGTGAGGGTCGGTGTGGTTGGGCGAGCAGGCAGTCTCGTCAGTAGTTGGCCCAACTTCTACTGACTGCTGGCGTTTCCCTGCCTCTAAGACTCCCTCCCCTGCTCTGCTCCGCGGCACCTTAGCTCCTCTGGGCATTCGCTCTTGCGATGGCCCGGCCTATTGCAAGCAAAGCAGCGCCCCTTAAATGGCGTGGCAGCTGCATTTGTCGCAACGGCGTTCACAGTGGCGTGCTCGATCGGTCCCCGAGGACGATGTCCGTGGTAGAACCCCGGTCTCGGTCGACGTAGGATGTCGATTTTCTCGGCGAGCGCGAGAATCTCGTTGAAATTCGAGAGCCCGCGTAGCATGATTTCGTGTGAGATGTCTGGTTTTAGCCCTCCGACGTAACGGTCCACCCGCTCCGCTTCGTGCATATAGCCGACTTGCTCGCAAAGTGCGAGAAAACCGCTCGTGTAATCTTGAACCGATCCGAGCTGCCGCCAAGTGCGCAATCTCTGACGCGCCGAAATAGAAGCCGCGATCGGCTCGAAGCGCGCCCGAAGCCCTGCGCACCACGCATCCCACGTGCTGTATTGGGCTGTTTCGCAGAACGAACTCCAGGTGACAACTGGACCCGTGGGCCCTTCCTCTTGCGACGGTGGCTCGTAGGCGCGTGGCGACGTCACGATGACTCGCCACCAGTCCATGGCGGGGCCCCTTTGCAGCGAAACGGCATACCGAATCTTCGCTGCGTCCGACTCGACGTAATTTGCGTCGAAGAAGACGTTCATCGTGAAGACCCACGATTGAACTGTCGGACCTCCACGCTGACTTGGGTCAAAGCAGGGCGGGCGTTGCGGCTTGAGTGGCATTGGTGCCATAATGGCTTGTTCGCCACTTGTCGCCGCGAACTCCACGTGCCGACGGGCTTCGCGAGGCTCCCGCGGGCTTGGTGCGGCCCTGTTTCCTCCCATGCCAGGCATCGGCTGGGTCGTGCCATCACGGGCTGCGCCTGAGCGCTGTCCCATGCTGTTGTTGTGTGTGGGTGTGCCGGACGAAATGACGATCGGCTCGTCCGATTGTGCAGATGCGTTTGTCGGTGCGTGTGGTGGTGCTGGAATGTTCATCGTTGATTGCTGACGCGCGGAGTCACGTTCCGCTGTGAGCGTCGCAATTTCGAGCGCCGAATCTTCGAGTTGGCGCACCAGGCGGTCGAGCTGCTCCTGCGTCAATGTGGCGAGCGTGATTTCGGCCATGGCGGGGGTGTCGGGCGAGCTCAGCGGGAGCCTCAGTCGTGGCCGTGCGTGCTTACGAGAGAGCACTACGAGCGGCGGTGCTGTATCGCTGAGAGACGTCTACCCCCCCCAAAAATTGAGATAGTGGGGAAGCGAAGGTGTGGGTGCGGTCCGAGAAGAGATCGTAGGCTCTGAATACCAAGTGTTACGGGTGCAATTGAGTGAACGAACGAGAATTGCACTATCGAAGCAAGAGTACAATGAGCGAAGGCATGAGCGAAGAATATATAGCGAAACTACAGTGGTAACGGTAATGGACTGTGGTTGTCGCGCGACGGGCCTGGAACTGAGGTTGGGGAAAGTGTCGAAGCGGAGGCCCGGAGCGCGGGTTACCCGCCGAGCCGTGAGGTCGGGGTGCGACGTGCGACAGTGGCGGGCGGATTGTCGATGCGAGGATTGCGAGTGGTAACGGTGCTGACTGTGGTGCTACAGTGATGTACGCTTTGAGCAGGGATGCGAAGTAAGGAAAAAGAGATTTTCCTTACAGACTCTGAAACTGAACGTTGACAGAAGGGGGGACCGAACCTGTCCCCTTTGGCTCGTTTTCCACCCAAACCAAGCCACCCTGGTTTGTTTTGGCCTCGACTGTTTTGGTAGTTCGCTGTGATTTTTTCACCCACTCGTCATATATTTCGCTTTCGTTACCCAATCACAGTCAAGCAAACCCAACCAAGTGTTAAACGGTTGGAAATATGAGACGCGAGCTTTAAGTGCATTTCGATCGCCTGTGAAACCCGCAAACCCACAACATCCCCGCTGTAACAGATTCAGACTTCCTGGCGAGAAATCTCCGCCGGTCAACCACGTACATGCGCTTCGGTTGGGGAGGTGAACTGCTTGCATCTGGCAGTGCCACCGACATTAGTTACCGTTGAATGAGGATTCGGAACTAGAGCCCGGGTTGTTACTCAAATGTGGTCCTAAATTAAAGTGTATGCGTAATACTACCTCACCATCAACACCATGCACAGTCGTGCACGGTTTGTTTCCAGCCTCAGAATAGAAACGGATGATAATTCACAAACCATGCACAACGTGCTTCACTGCCTTGAGAATGTGTGTCGAAACAAACTTAAAGCTCAGATTTCATACTTGTGCGCAGAAAGGAGCACTGCGTTGCTCGTTTTGCAAGGTTAGGTTGAGAAATTGGGAACGCGGGGGATACCGTCGTAGATAGCCCCACACTGTGTATAAGGGCCGGAGAGAGACCTGTAATTCTTAGACAGATCAACACATTGCCTATTTTCTTTATTTTCATCTCGGGTATCTAGAAAATAGAATACTCGACGCCCTGGACCACCTTTCCTGAAATACACATGAATTGCATTTCTCGCTGCTCAACTCAAAGAAGCCCAAGCAAGCAACATTCCTCCTAACACGCCAGCCACATTCCTCTCCTCCCTCGCGCCCCTCTTCCTTGCAGCGTCCCTGCTTTCCGCTTCAACCGTTGGTGCGTGAACCCCGTTCAGTAAGGAATTCCACACGGAAAGGCCGTCGCATCATCCACTTGCTCGCCGTTAGAGTCTCTTCAAGTGACGGAAATTCGCTAAAAAAATGAGCGGTCAGGAGGCAGCGGCATCCAGAGTGATAACAAATTTACGCCCATGTGATTCTTTCGTGACGCGAGTCGTGGTCAGGAACCAGCGTTCATACCCGGGCGACTAAAAGTGTTGAACAAAATTCTTTTATCATGGCTCATGGCATGGCGTTACAGTTGGATGATCGAGCACGATAGAATCGCGAAGCATCAAGGAGGATCGCCGCGATGCAGCTGTTCAACTTGAAGGAGTCACTCAGCTGTAGATGCTCGGAGCAACTGAATGCGTCCAGAACATTCACCCCGGCCCGGGTGCACCTCGAGTCGGCGGAGAAGAAAAAAAAAAGGATCCGCCGAAACGTTCAATTTCGAGGCGAATCGAGTCTGCAAGAATCTCCTGTGCAATGCACTGCCAGTGCGAAAGGCCGCGTCGCGCCATAGTAATGTCCCCGCCACTGTTCGCATGTCCGTGGCCTCATATTTTGTCAGCGGAAACCGGGTTCGCTCCTTTTGATTCCGAGGCTCGGGCCGCGGCATTATCGAGCTGCAGGCATCATCGCCGGGAAGGACATTTGATCGCATTCGGTAGCTCTGAGCTGCAGACCCTGGTGATTCATCCCAAAAAGGCATATTAGGATGCGTAGTGCCTTCGCCGACAACAGTGCATTGACAGATGATGCGACACAGGATACGACAGCAGCGAGCACGGCATTAGCCGTCGAGGCAACGGGCCGGGCAGGCCTTTCTGAGTATGGCGACGATGATAGGAAAGACTGCACTGGCTGTTTCTGCGGCGGCTGCTTCTGCGGTGGCGACGGAGGCGGCGGCGTCGGCGGCGTCGGCGGCGGCGGCGGCGGAGGCGGCGGAAGCGGGGGAAACGGCAGAGACGGCAGAGGGGGCGGGGGACTCACGCCGCAGCGGGGTTCCGCGGCGCGGCTGTGGCGGTGGCTATGGCGGCGGCGCGACATACTGCTGATGAGCACGGATGAGCCATGATGGTCTTCTTCTGCTGATGAGAGGATGGGGTGGATGGGCGGGAAACTGAGGGCAGGTGAGTCTGTAAGGGCAGGTGGGAAACTGAGGGCAGGTGAGTCTGTAAGGGCAGGTGGGAAACTGAGGGCAGGTGAGTCTGTAAGGGCAGGTGGGAAACTGAGGGCAGGTGAGTCTGTAAGGGCAGATGGGAAACTGAGGGCAGGTGAGTCTGTAAGGGCAGGTGGGAAACTGAGGGCAGGTGAGTCTGTAAGGGCAGATGGGAAACTGAGGGCAGGTGAGTCTGTAAGGGCAGGTGGGAAACTGAGGGCAGGTGAGTCTGTAAGGGCAGGTGGGAAACTGAGGGCAGGTGAGTCTGTAAGGGCAGGTGGGAAACTGAGGGCAGGTGAGTCTGTAAGGGCAGGTGGGAAACTGAGGGCAGGTGAGTCTGTAAGGGCAGGTGGGAAACTGAGGGCAGGTGAGTCTGTAAGGGCAGGTGGGAAACTGAGGGCAGGTGAGTCTGTAAGGGCAGGTGGGAAACTGAGGGCAGGTGAGTCTGTAAGGGCAGGTGGGAAACTGAGGGCAGGTGAGTCTGTAAGGGCAGGTGGGAAACTGAGGGCAGGTGAGTCTGTAAGGGCAGGTGGGAAACTGAGGGCAGGTGAGTCTGTAAGGGCAGGTGGGAAACTGAGGGCAGGTGAGTCTGTAAGGGCAGGTGGGAAACTGAGGGCAGGTGAGAAATTGAGGCCTTTTCTCCATCCCCCTTCCCCCCGCTATTGACCAGAACCATGTCAACACCAGCAACGTTCGCGCTGGTGTTCAGCTGTGCGCTGCTGTGGGGAATCGGCGCCACAGCCTTTCAGTCGCAGATTACAGCGCTCCTGCCATTGGTCTTCCCCTCTGATGTGGTAAGTTGCAATGGTTTTAGATATCTCAAATTTTGCACCCCTCGCATCTCCCGTTACTAGCTTCTCTCCCTCCTTCCATATCCTCATCCTTCCATATCTTCCTTTCAGGATGCACCCTACCATATAACTTGTTAGGCTACTATTGGTACCCTTTTTGTAAATGTCATCTTGTCCAGTACACGTCCAACCCGCGCACTAGATCTTCTGTGGCAACACTGCCGCCTGCTGTCTCCATCTGTTTCTTCTCATGCCCTCACTCTCACCCACTCCCTTCTCAATCTGCTCATTGCAACGCCTTGACCCCGCACAGGACGCAGCATACGCGCATTGGATATCGTGGAGCAGCGCGGCCTGCTCCGCCTACTTCCTCTCGAGCCCATACATCGCCACGCCCATCAAAAACTCCCTCCTCCTCGCCTTCTGCCTCCTCTCAGTCACCCTCGCTGCCATTGCCACGAAATTCAGACGACCGGAGCTTCCAAACCTAGCTGCTATGCCTGTGAATGTTTGATGAACAGAGCCAAACCTGGCTGCTGTGGCTGTGGGTTCTAGACGAACCGAGGTTCGAGCTCGTGTACCTGCAGATAAAAAAAGGCCAGAGATGCCGAAAGTTGCTGCAGTGGTTTAGGCTAATTTTGGGGTTTGCTTGGCCTTATTGGTGGAAATCAAGCCAACAAAAGGCCTGCGTTAGAGGGTAATTGATCAAGTGGGCTCTGCAGAAAGTAATGTGCAAATGCAATGATCAAGCATTCAGCGAACAGGCCACCTAGCCCCCTCTCATGTGCCACTGCGCCTGTCGTTTCCCCCGTGCCACTGCTGTGCAGCACCCATCATCAAATGGCACGTGAGAGAGTGGAGGGTGGAAAAGTTCAGCTCATGGAAATGTACCAGCAGAACCACTGCAAGAAACGCTTCCCATAACAGTGGTGAAGAGAGGTCGCCCCAGTCGGTTTGTATGGTGAGGGGAACACTACTCGAGAATGGGGCTTTAGAAACTACTGATGAATGGATACTTGGGATGCGGTTCCAGGCTCAGTGTTGGCAGACTGTTGGGGATCGGGGCTGGGGTCGGAAGAGAGCATCTCATGTGATCTTGCCCGGAGAGCCATTCGTGAAACAGGTCGTTTCTGTCATCCCCATAACCCTCAATCTCTTGGTTCTGTGCTGTTGCAGGTCAACCTTCTGGATGGATGGGATGGCACCTAATACCGGAACCCCTCTCAGTTGGATCTTCGTAGATACGCACTCCATTCACGTACCCCAAACAGCGGATGATGCCAGATAGTGAATGCACATGCTTTACATGCTTTTAATGCAGATACCCACCACATTGTTTTCAACAGCATATTAGGTCAGACGTTGGATGAGTATTATAAATTGTTGCAAGGTTGTTTGTCTATATCACATTTTGCTTTTCAAATACTGTATTGGATGTTTGAGGAGCTTCTTACTGCTGGAGTCGGTTCGAGTCTCGTGTCGTCAATCCAACCAAGGCGCATGGGAGGGAATTTCCGTTCCGCTGATTAGTGATTGAAAAGCGCTACGGGTGGTTGGACAGCACTGTTGTCAGTTGACTAGGGCCTCTGGCTCGGATCAGCTCCGAATCGAACCGATGTATGCAATTTGGGCGTCTCGGGTCGACTCGCGACATTATCAACAGATAAGCCGCTTCGGTTCTGTTCCTCCAGGAGTACTAAATATCCAATTTCACGAACAAACATAGGTACAAATATTTTATTCCAGCGAAACGTACGTGGTAAGTGCGACGGTCAGTTTTGGAAGAGTCGAAGTCCCAAACTACACATTCCCAAACTACATGTAGGACATTTTGTGGAAAATGCTCACGTCCTGTCCTGAATACCAGTCCCGTCATAAACGCCTGAAGCGAAACGCCGCTCATCTAGAACCAGACCCTAAATTATTTTGCGCTTTCTCATTCCAGGCCATAAATTCCTTGATGGGAGAGATGCAGCATCAACCCTACCAAGCTTCCCTCCCCTCAACGCTCGCCTTCCCTCATCAGACTGCCAAATTCCTCTTCCCTCGCCCGTTGCTCGGTGAGGAGGAAAAGAGATTCACATCACATACAGCAGCGGAATCCGCAGGGGAGTCTGGGGGATTCTTTATTTTACCAGGACGAGGCGAGGTGGGGGGTTTTCTGTTCAGTACTCGGACACATGGGAGCTGGTCTGGTCCCGCGCAACTTGGGCCAGCTAGCTCCTCAACGAGCACCTTATCAGAAGTCGGCGTTGAACAGCTGGTAGCATTTATGTGCGTTTTGAGTCGACCCAAGACGCAACTTGGGCCAGCTAGCTAGCCTCTCAACGGACAGCCGGGCAGGGGCAGTCATTATCAGTAGCCAGCATTGAACAGCTAGGTATTCTTTATCAAAGATTCGAGCCTCTGTTTGTCTTCTGGTTAGATAAACACTGTGCCTCGAGCCACACGTGACAACGCACTACGATCGGATGGATTAAGACAATCCGTGTAGCTTCAATATGGAGTCACTTCAGGAAAAGGGAATGCTGAGATGCTCTGATCAGAGCCGCTAATCGCTCAAAAGTCCTTTCTAGAAGGGAAAGACAAGACAGGTCACACCTATCACGTTCTCTCGCAAAATTCTGAAATAAATAGTTAGTACATCTTACTGATGCTCTGGTTGCAGCCACCGCTATTCGCTCTCTGACGTCAACAGGTCCCAGATTCGCTATTGAGAGTTCTCAGAAGGGAGATTTTCTCTGAGAACATTCCTTTTTCAGTTTTGTTGACAGTCTGCTCTCTCTTCGAGAGCAGATCGCGTCTCTCGAGGCGCAGAATTATGGCGCTTCAGGTAGCATCATCCTGTTGAGAATTCTCAAAAGTGATACCAACCTACTGTCGGCGTAAAACACCCTTGGGAAAAGGTAGCCGGTTATTTCAAGGGTGTTCTTGGGATTGCGACCTACCGAATCCTAAAGTCGCGACCATCCAACCCATCAGTATGTCCAGTGAGCAAGATCGAGTCGACGAGGAGAATGGCAGCGGTCTGGGCACCGAAGCTCCAGGCGACGCGAGGAACCTTCCACGGTGGTTCCCCGGCCGCGGCGGCAGCTGGAGCTTCGGATGGAAGAAAATCCAAATCGCCGACAGCAGTGCGGCGACGGATGCGGCGACGGATGCGACAGCAGCGAGCGCATCGGATGCGACAGCAGCGAGCGCATCGCCCACCGAGATGACTGGGCACGCAGCATTGTCAGAATTGGGCGACTATTCAAAAGACGGCGGCGGAGGCGAAGGAGCAGCACGGGCGTCCGCAGCGCGGGTGTGGCGGTGGGTGTGGTCGCGGCGCGACGTGCTGCTGATGAGCACGGCGTTTCTCTTCTTCTTCGTGGCGTTCAACGCGCTGCAGAACGTCGCGACGAGCATCCACGGCGCGAGCAACATCGGCGCGCTCTCCATGGGCGTGCTTTACGCCGTCATCGTCGTCACCGCGCCGCTCGCGCCCTTCCCCATCCGCTTTTGGCGCGCGCGCGCCGCGATCCTTGTGGCGCAGACGGGGTTCTGGGCTTTTATCGGTTCCAACGCGTTCACTATAGAGTGCGTTCTCTCTCACTCTCTCTGTCTCCGTTGGCCAACCTTAAAGCTCGAAACCTGGAACACCATTGCGATTGTTCAATGTGCATCGATGAGGTGGGTCATAGGCGGGACCAAGTTACAAAGCGATTGGCAGAAATCTTATAAGGAGAATGCTCTTGATTCTCTTTTAAGTCCGTATTTCCGACTCTGACGGCTCCTCCACACAAGAGACTCGTTTCATAACGTTCTTATGCCCGTAGATTCCGCGCCCCGTCCCGCCCCAATCCGTCTTCGTGCCAGGTGGCTGCTTCTGCTCGCGTCGTGCTACCTCGGAGTCTGCTGGTCCGTCGTCTGGGTAGCTCAGGTGACGCTCTTAATCTCTTTCGTGCATACATTCCCATGCTTTGGTCCTGAAGCTCGTCGTGTATGCGGCTCAGATGAGTTAGACTTGTTTTTTGCGAGCGTGTGCGCGCGGGCGTGCGTGCTTGTTTGAGTGCGGGCGTGCGTGCGTGCGTGCAAGCATATGTGTGTGTTTGTGCGTGCTCTTTTTCTTTTCAGATGCTCTCCTTCTTTCCTTATGGGCCCAACACCTGAATGGCATGAATGCAACCTTATCAAAATTTCCAACGTCTGCTTTCACAAGTTCCCTTCGGGGATCTTCAACCACTCATCCCCGCTACATGCCTCCTCGTTTTCTCTACGCAGGGAGTGTACCTCGTTGCTGCTGCGGGTGTCTACAGTAAACGTTACAACAAGCCTATGGACGTTGTGGTGACTGAATTTAGCGCCCTTTTTGGGGGAATATTCGCCTTTAACCAGATTATAGGGAATGCAATCACTTTCACCGTCTCGCAACTCTCCTATTCCTCCTCTTCCTCCTCCTCCTCCTCCCTTCCTCCCACCACCGTCACCATACTCATTATAGTGCTTTGCATCTGCCTCGCTATAGGCTCAGTGCTCTCCTGGCTCCTCCGTGATCTCAAGCCAATAGAAGTCCGCCGCGTGGACGACGCTACCCTGAATTTCAAGCGCCCTGTCGCTGCGCTCGCTCCCTGTCCGTCGATTTCATCCAGCAGGGCGCTTTCAATCTTCACTGTTGATTGGGAGGAGATGGAAGAGTTGGTGGAGGAGGAAGTGGAGGAAGATGAGGAGGAAGAGGGGGAGGAAGAGGGGGCGGAAGTGGGGGAGGATGAAGAGGAGGAGAAAGGGAGAGAAGGGGGAGCGAGGGGTGGGAAGAAGGCGAAGCGGCACTTGAGAGCAATATTGTCGGGCGTGGATGAGGAGGGGGGAGAGGGAGAGGAGGAGCAGAGGGGAGAGCATGGGCAGGGTGAGAGGGGAGAGGTGGTTGGAGAGGATGAGAGGGGGAGTGTGGGTATAGGAGATGTAGGGAAGTCTGACGACTCCTTCAGTGACGTCATACTATTTGCTCCTGCAGGAGCACCTCCTGCAGATGCAGGCAATGCATCTCAACCGCACCGTACCTCTCAGCCTTCCCACTCCCTCCACTCATTCCAAACCTCGCCCTCTTGCTCTTCCTGCGATTCTACCTCCCGCCGGGCCACTATCCCAAGGCAAACACCCAGGCTCGGCCCGAACCTGGCTTCTGCCTCTCCAAGCCTAACCAGATCAGCTTCAAGCCTGACCATCAACTCCAGGTCCGGCCGAACCATAGCGTCGTTCCACGTCCCGTCCCTCTCCCGCACCATGTCCCGAACCTCGGCAACTCACTTCTCACGGCAGCGTTCGGTGTCCGCTCCTGCGGCGTCCGGGCGGCATTCTTTGTCTCGGTCTGTGAAGTCGAAAAGGATGACGGTGACGGTGGGCGGGGGGAGCAAGGAGGGGGAGGGGAGGAACGCGTGGCAGCTGCTGTTTGATCGCAAGCTGCTGCTGCTCATTCCGCTGCTCTTCTACTCGGGCCTGCAGGCCGCTTATATCAGGTATGATGCATGCACCTGCTGTTAACTGGACGGAATGGTGCATGCTGCCACACTGCAAGCGGCTTATATCAGGTACTTTGCGTGCTGCTATACTGCAGGCCGCTTGTATCAGGTACGATGACGCATGCCACTATAATGCAACGGCTTCTGTCGGGTATGTTTCAACATTAGAACATACACCTAGGCCTGACGTGCAAGAGAGGTGGGAATGGGAACAAGAAGGCAGGTATGCTTAGTGGAAGTCAGGTAAACCCGAAAAAATTGAACACCCAACCCAATGGACGATGGAAAATGTTGGCCGGTGCAGATCGGTCAGAAGCTATTTTTCAGGCGCCTTTTTTTGGCGATCTTTGAGGCGCCTAAAAGCTACTCTGAACACCAAATGGAGGATGGAATATAGGAGAGCTGACAACTGTTGCTGACTACTATGCTCCCATCCCTCTCACACCACCTGGTGGCAGTGCGGACTTCACGCGCTATGTGGTGCAGCCGCTGCTGGGAGCGCAGTGGATGGGTGGAGCCATGATGGTCTTTGGAGTCGCCATTGCTGTCGTGAGTCGTTATTGCAGTCACCCTTTTCTTTATCCTTTTTTCTTTCTTTCTTTCTTTTTCTTTTCCCTCCCTTTCTTTCATATTATTTCTCCTGTAATTCTATGGTTTTGACCAAGTCGAAACGCGTCTACCATGCCTCAAACCTCCCTTTGTCCAAAGGGGTTACGGTCTGTGAGTACTTTTGGCTTCTCTCCTGCTCATCTTTCTTCTCTGCTCTCCATGTCTCTCCGTCCAATCCCCCACATCGCCAGTGTTGTTTCTTCGCAGTTCGCTTTGCCAAGGGGCTCTCATCGATTCGCCTCATGCTGCTGCTAGGTGCTGCCTCGCAGGCAGCCGTTCTCGTCCTCACATGGGTCTTTCAAGAAAGGTGGGTTTGTGGTTCGGGGCAGGTGGATTGCTGAGGGTAGGTGAGTCACTGGGGGCAGGTGGGTTGCTGAGGGCAGGTGGGTTGCTGAGGGCAGGTGGGTTGCTGAGGGCAGGTGGGTCACTGAGGGCAGGTGGGTCAATCAGAGCAGAGGTAAGTGCCGTATAGACGGCTCACTTTGTGCTGCCTTGCTGACAGCCGTTCTCATGCTCACATGGCTCCTTTTGAGCAGGTAGGTCACTGGGGGCAGGGCAGGTGGGTGAATAATGGCATGTGATTGCATGGGCTTTACCCCCAGAGTAGGAAACACTGCTTTTCTGCTTCTCCAGAACCCCCACCGCTCCGCCTCCATCCGCTCCCTTCCGCTCCATCTAATTCTCCCTGATTCTCCCCTCCCTCCCTCTCCTTCCTCCTCTTCAGAGCCATGTCAAAGCCGGCAGCATTCGCGCTGGTGTTCAGCTGTGCGCTGCTGTGGGGAATCGGCGCCACTGCGTTTCAATCGCAGATCACTGCCCTCCTCCCCTTGGTCTTTCCGTCTGACGTGGTAAGCTGTCATTGACGCATACGCGCACTTGGTCGCGTAGAGCAGCGCCGCTGCCTGCTGCTTCGTTTACTTCCTCTCCAGCTTTTCTAATCCATGAACTTCTGCACTCACTCCTTCTCCCTTCCTCTACTTCCTCCACAATGCACTCACTCTCCCTGCTTGTTGCCTCCTATCCCCACCAGGATGCAGAATACGCGCATTGGATCGCGAGGAGCAGTGCGGCCTGCTCCGCCTACTTCCTCGCCAACCCTCGCTATCGCTCACCCGCTCCCACCCCCCAACACCTCCCTTGACCCCGCACAGGACGCGGCATACGCGCATTGGATATCGTGGAGCAGTGCAGCCTGCTCCGCCTACTTCCTCGCCAGCCCATACATCGCCACGCCCATCAAGAACTCCCTCCTCCTCGCCTTCTGCCTCCTCTCAGTCATCCTTGCTGCCATTGCTGTCAGAATCAGACCCCCGGGACAGGCGAAGCCATGTGAAGGGGTGTGAGGAGTGAGGTGCAGGGGTGTGAAAGGGTACCGTAACTCCCTCCTCCTCGCCTTCTGCCTCCTCTCCGTCATCCTCGCTGCCATCGCGGTCAAGATTAGATCACCAGGGCAGGCCAAAGCGTGTGAGGGGGTCTGAGGAGCTGCAGCCATTCCTAGATTCCTTTTTGAGGCGCCTAAAAAATTAGACCACCCGGACAGGCCAAATCGTGTGAGGGGGTGTGAGGAGCTGCAGCCACTCCTAGATTCCTTGCCTGTGAGCTTTTGACGACCCATGGAGCGGAGCCAAGACTTGCTCCCATGCCTGTGAATCAAGAACGCGTGTTTGACCTGAGTGCTTCGCTTGGCCTCATTCATGAAAAAAATCAAGCTGACAACTAGAATGACCTGGATGGGTCTGTTGGAAACCATGCTAACACCTGCGAGGCAACTCAAACAAAAGCCAACGTGGATCACAGAGGTGACTCGGATGGGTCTGTGTGCTGAAAGCCAGGGTGGGGATATTAGTTATTAGGGAAGGATACTAGCTTCCAGCACCTGCTTGAAACCGTTGGAAGGAAGCTAATGAGCGTACACTGTCACTGGCTCCCCCAAAACCTAATGTGTGAGAAATGGATTGGATAAATCGATCATGTAGAACAGAACCAATTCTGCACGTTCCTACTTCCTCACACCCCCTCGCACGGTTTCGCCTGTCCTGGTGGTCTAATCTTGACCGCAACAGCAGCAAGCATAACAGAGAGAGGGCAGACGACGAGGAGGAGGGAGTTCTTGATGGGTGTGGCGATGTATGGGCTGGCGAGGAAGTAGGCGGAGCAGGCTGCACTGCTCCACGCAATCCAATGCGCGTATGCTGCGTCCTGTGAGTAGCCAAGGATCGGGGGGAGGGGGGAAGGGGGAGTGGGTGATTGAGAGTGAGGGTTGGAGAGGAAGATAATGAAGAAGCAGCAGCAGGCAGGCAGCGCTGGTCCACGTGATCCACTGTGCGTACGCTGCATCCTGTGAGGAGGTGACATCTGGGTCGACTCAAAAGTCACTTTGAGAGTGAGGGCCGGAGAGGAAGATAAAGAAGCAGCAGCAGGCAGCGCTGGTCCACGTGATCCATTGTGCGTACGCTGCGTCCTGTGAGGGATACCAATGGTGAAGGGAGGAGATCGTGGGAGGGGGTGAGTGAAAGGATTGCAGGCGGCATGAGAGGAAGCAGATGGAGGCAGCAGGCAGTGCTGCTCCACGCGCTCCAAGGTGCATATGACGCATCCCGTGAGGGGCCGTGGGGGATTTTCGGTGGTGGAAATGGGCGAGTGAGAGTGAGGGCTTGAGAGGAAGCAGAGGAGACAGCAGGCAGCGCTGCTCCACGCGCTCCAATGCCTGCACGCTGCATCCTACGAGAACCAATGGCAGCTTACCACGTCAGCGGGGAAGACCAATGGCAGGAGCGCTGTAATCTGCGATTGGAAGGCAGTGGCGCTGATTCCCCACAGCAGCGCACAGCTGAACACCAGCACGAATGCTGCTGGCTTTGACATGGCTCTGGGGGAATGGTGGGAGGATGGAACAACAGCAGGACAGAGAAAAGCTTAGCTTTGGGAACCACAGCAGGACAGAGAAAAGCTTAGCATTGGGAACTGAAGCAAAGAGGGGAGAGGGATGAGGAGGGAGGGGAATCAGGCCAGTGAGTGAAGGAGGTGTGGTGGATGGGTAGGATGATGCGGGATGACCCACCTGCCCTCAATCACCTTCCTGCCCTGAAAGACTTCTCTGCTCTGAAAGGCTTTTTCCCATCAACCACCCACCTTGCCCCAATACCCACCTACCTGTACCACCCACCACCCACCTGGTCTGGAAGACCCATGTGAGCACGAGCACGGTTATCTGGGCGGCCGCACCCAGCATGAGCATGAGGCGAATGGCTGCGAGCCCATGGGCGAAGCGAACTGCCAAGAAACAACACTGGGGATTGAATGGGGGGGCGTGGACGGAGAGAGGGAAGGCGAGAATTGACAGTAAGACTAGGAGGGAGCATCAGGGCGGAGAAAAGCATAGTGCGTAGGACTCACGACCCGAGGGCAATGGGGAGGTGACTTTTGAGTCGACTCAAAAGTCATCAGGGAGGAGAAAAGCATAGTGCGTAGGACTCACGACCCGAGGGCAATGGTGGTAGATTTGCTTCCAGTGCACTCACGACTGCAATGGCGACTCCAAAGACCATCATGGCTCCGCCCATCCACTGCGCTCCCAGCAGCGGCTGCACCACATAGCGCGTGAAGTCAGCACTGGTGTGGGAGGGATGAGTGGATGGGGTGGATGGGCGGTATAGGGTGGATGGTAGGGATGGGAGGGATGGAGGGATGGCACAGATGGGTTGAGAAGGATGCAGATGGGGCAGAACATGGTTTTGAGCAGCGGCTGCACCACATATCGCGTGAAGTCCGCACTGCAGTGTGGGGGATGGGAGAGATGGAGATGGGAGGTATGGGAGGTGGGATGGGAGGGATGAGTGGATGCGAGAGAGGGATGTAGTGGACGGGATGGGATGGGATGGGATGGGATGGGGAGCAGTATAGCAGCACGCAACGTACCTGATATAAGCAGACTGCAGGCCCGAGTAGAAGAGCAGCGGAATGAGCAGCAGCAGCTTGCGATCAAACAGCAACTGCCACGCGTTCCTCCCGCCCACCGTCACCGTCATACGTTTAAACGCCACAGACCGAGTCAAAGTTGGCCGCCCCGTCGCCGCAGAAACAGACAAAGTTCCCTGCATCGAGAATTTCGTCGAAGTAGATCTGGACATGGTGCGGGGGAGGTTCGGCATCTGGACCGAAGCTATGGTTCGGCCGGACCTGGAGTTGATGGACAGGCTCGACTTTAATCTGGTTAGGTTCGGAGTGGTAGGCGTTAGGATCGAGTCCGACCTGGTCATTTGCCTTACGAGTCTGGGCCGGCGGGTGGAGGGATTGTGAGAAGAGTGTGTGGTAGAGGACTGGTTTGAGCTGAGGGAGGGGGTTTGTTGAGAGGTATGGTGCGGCTGAGATGGGTTGCCTGCACGAGCAAGGTTTGATGAAACGTCAGTAGAGTTGTCAATCATCCCTGTACCTTCTAAACACACACTCCGTCTCTCTCCCAGCCCACCCTCCCCTTTCTCTCCCTTCCCACCCTCTGCACTCTTCTTCCCCTCTCCCCCCTCTTCCTTCTCTTCTACCTTCCCTTTGTCGCCCTCCTCCTCCGCTTCCTCCTCTTCCTCATCTCCCTCCTCCACTGCTTCTAATTCCTCCTCCACCTCCGCCTCTACCTCTTCCCAATCAACGGTGAAGATTGAAAGCGATCTACTGGATGAAATCGACGGACAGGGAGCCAGCGCTGCAACAGGGCGTTTGAAATTCAGGGCAGCGTCGTCCACGTGGCAGTCTTCTATTGGCTTGAGATCACGGAGGAACCAGGAGAGCAAGGAGCCTATAGCGAGGCACATGCAAAGCACTATAATGAGTATGGTGACGGTGGTGGGAGGAAGGGAGGACGAGGAGGAGGAGGAGGAGGAGGAGGAGGAGGAGGAGGAGGAGGAGGAGGAGGAGGAGGAGGAGGAGGAGGAGGAGGAGGAGGACGAGGAGTAGGAGATTTGCGAGACGGTGAAAGTGATTGCGTTCCCTATAATCTGATTAAAGGCGAAAATACCGCCAAAAAGGGAGCTGAATTCGGTAACCACGGCATCCATAGGCTTGTTGTAACGTTTACTGTAGACGGCCGCAGCAGCAACGAGATACACACCCTGAGAAAACGAAGTGGCACGTAAAGGGGATGAGTTGTTGAGAGAGCGTGAGAGATTGAGAGGGTCACCTGAGAGAACGGAAGAAGAGAGTGAGAGAGATGGGAAGGGGCGAGGAGATGAAGGGCGTCTCCTGAACCACCCAACGTCACATGAGAGAGAGAGCGCCTGAGAGAGAGAGTGAGAGCGTCACCTGAGCCACCCATACAGTAAGCTTCAGAACAAAGGCATGACAAGTGCTACTCGAAAGCAGCGATGGAAAGGGAAGAAGAGAGTGAGAGCGTCACCTGAGCCACCTGAGAGAACGGGACAAGAGACGAAGAGTGTCACCTGATCCACCCAACGTCACATGAGCGAGAGAGAGAGCGCGTGAGAGAGAGTGAGAGCGTCACCTGAGCCACCCAGACGACGGACCAGCAGACTCCGAGGTAGCACGACGCGAGCAGAAGCAGCCACCTGCCAGGTGCGTGGTAGACGCGACGGGACGGGATGATGCGATTAACGGAGATGTTGGAAATGCGGAAAGGCAATTGTGCATGCATCCAGTGCTCTCGCTTTTTGTTGAAAAATCTCATGGCGATGTTACTCCGTCGGAACGGGAACACTATTTCGACGAGCATGAGAGCATTGAGAGCACCGGGAGCATCGGGCGCATCGGGAGCATCGGGAGCATCAGGAGCATCGGGAGCATCAGGAGCATCGGGAGCATCGGGAGCATCGGGAGCATCGGGAGCATCGGGAGCATCGGGAGCATCGGGAGCATCGGGAGCATCGGGAGCATCGGGAGCATCAGGAGCATCGGGAGCATCGGGAGCATCGGGAGCATCGGGAGCATCGGGAGCATCGGGAGCATCTCCGCAGGGCGAAATCGTTTGACTTTGACACCCTGTCCGCCAGAAACGCAGTACCCCGTCATGAGCGATTTACACTACCGGGTGACCCAATCATGAACGCGCTTTGGCGAGAGGCTACACACACACGCACTCGTGAACGCAGTATGCCGCATTTGATAGTGAATGCGTGAACGTGACCGTGGTTGACTACACACGCACGCACTTGATATTGAACGCGTTGGACCCGATAAAAGCCCAGAATCCCGTCTGCGCGATGAGGATGGCGGCACGCGCGCGCCAGAGGCGGATTGGGAAGGGCGCGAGCGGCGCGGTGACGACAATGACGGCGTAAAGCACGCCCATGGAGAGCGCGCCGAGGTTGCTCCCGCCGTGGAGGCTCGTCGCGACGTTCTGCAGCGCGTTGAACGCCACGAAGAAGAAGAGAAACGCCATGCTCATCAGCAGTATGTCGCGCCGTGACCACACCCACAGCCATAGAAACGCCGCAGACCCCGGCGGCGGCGGCGGCGCGAGCTCGTCACTTCCACCTTCGCTGCTTTCGCCGTCGTCTCTCCCGCGGCAGAAGCAGCCGCTGCAGCATCCTTGACTACTAACGCCAGATGTAGGAGGCATTGTCAGGGCAGTCGTCTCCATCGCAGCTGTCGCATGCGGCGTCGCATTCATCGTCGCACTGTCAGCGGGAAACCACTGTTGCGGATCAGCCCCCAGAAGGATCTTCGTCGCACGTGCAGCTTCCGTGCCGTGTTTGTCGCCGTTTTCGTCGTCGTGTAAATGATCATGGAGTTCATCTCCCGACATCGGGACGGGATTCGACGGTAAGGTCGAGCGCTTGTCCCAAAACTCGGTAAAAGCCCAGAACGCACCCAGCACTTCTAATCAACTGACTGATCCGAATTCTGAGTCGATTCAAGAACCTGATCTACAACGGGTCACTGCACAGGTGCTCATCATGTTGCAAAAGAAGTGTACGCACGTGCAGCGCGGAAACCGGGAAAAATTTTAGAGGAAACGTCTCATTTTTCAAGGAAATGCGAGAGAAAGTCGCAACCTGTGACAGAGCTATATATATTTCACATCATAGCCGAGGCTGTAGAAGGCTGTGACCCGTTTTGCCTTCGCAGGCCATCGCAACATGATTTCAGTGGACTGCTTTTCTCTTGACGGTTCCGTTGACTCGGCGACGTCAAGTTAATCGGACGTGTTGTACCATCAGTGATTTTTGCGACAGAAGCGGCACAAAGAGCTGTTATAGTCACAATAGGCTTGAATGTGCCTAAAACGAAAGATAGAGAGCACAGACGGATTTCTGCACAGCGGCTTCAAACGTTGATAGCGTTCTGCTCACAGCTGCAAATGACTTGATTCAAATTGGATCTGGAGCGTCTTCACGTCGTCTACAATTAGCAATTTAGATTGCACGATCTGATAAAGAATTGACGACACAGCGTCGGTTTGAACGAACGGTACTATGGCAGCCACTATAGTCTTAGAACACAAGATAGGAAGAGTTACGAGTTGGGAATGACTCCCAGCTCCTACAAACCCCAAGAGCCGAGGTACAGTGATGTGGAACAGTGCCACACTGTCCCCAACCACGAAGGGTCTCGAAACTACCCTTCACTAGGGCCTACACCAAGTGAAATGTTACACTACACAAAGTAATGTAACTATCTTCAATATCTTGAGGTGTACCCTTTTGGCAAGCTTCGAAATCACTTGAGGCTTGACACCAAGGCTCGGGCTCTTCATCACAAACTCATCCTTGAGTTCTTGATGGGTCTGCTGCACACACCTGCGACACGCCGAACGTTCGACACAGGACAAAATAGAAACCGCGCACGACAAAATAGAAACCGCGCGCGAGACACAAACGACCGCGTAACACGCGTCTAGCGATAACTCGCTATTGACTCGACACACACACTCGACATCATGACTCAACATTCACACACAATTATAAGCATGAAATATATATTATCCCATGCCCTCATACCATTCCATACACACACACATTCACGCACACGGACAACAAGCCGAGTGCAAACCGTAGGGTTGCACCAACAAACTCCCCCTCGGATTGTTGGCCTTAGGATATGTTGCTCTCTCAGTTCAGAGCCATCCCAGCCAGCTTACAACACTTCCAATGCTGCTGCTCCACCAGCCTCTTGGTCATCATGTCAGCCGGCTGCCCCGTGGTCTTCACGTAGCGCAACTCAACTTCACCCGCGGTTACCATGCTCCTCGTCCAATGCCACTTCACCCTCATGTGCTTCGTGAGTCCATGCAACACAGGGTTCTTAGCAAGAGCAATGGCACCCTGGCTGTCACAGTACAGTGGGGTAGGTCCTTGCTGCTCCTCCCCCAATTCAGCCAACAAACGCCGCTGCCACACAATCTCCCGTACGGCACGGAAGAGTGCCATGTACTCGGACTCCACCGAGCTCAAAGCTTGGTCAACCTGCTTCTTGCTCTCCCAAGCAGTTGGGCCTCCACCAACACAGCATATGAAGCCTCCCACACTTGTCATGTCCTCTGGTTCTGATGCATATGAAGCATCCGAGTAGGCGGTGAGGAACAAACGCCCGGGTTCAACACCATCCGCGCCCTTTTGGCGCCTTTGTGCCGCCGCCGAGTATTGCAGCCCAACGGTCGGTGTTTGGCCAAGATACTTGGCCAACCTCATTCCAGCTGCTACCTGCTCCTCATTAGGGCATTGCACAACCCTAGCCAGCTGCCCGGTAGCAAACGCGACGTCCGGTCGGGTGTTTACCGCCGCATACATGAGGCTGCCCACCAACGAGTGAAATCGGCGCCTCTCCTCTTCACCAACGCTCTCCTCCTCTGGTCCCTTCACACACTTGAACCCAGAGGGAAAGGGTGTAGCCACATGGCCTTCACTCTGCCCAAAGTTGGCAGCCAATGCCTCCAGGTACTTTCGTTGATGCACCCGCATGCACCGCTTCTCCACATCTCGTTCGATGTGGAGCCCAAGGTAGAAGCTCACGTCACCAAGGGCCTTGCACTTGAACTTGTCTTGAAGCTTCAGCATCACCTCCTTCACAAGGTCAGAAGAGGGTGACAAAATGAGGATGTCATCCACATAAACCACCATGATACTCCTCTGCTCCCCCTCGCCAAGCATGAACAAGGAGTGATCGGCCGTTGAGGGAGTGAAGCCGATCCCCTCCAACACTTCGCGCAGCTTCATGTACCATTGCCTAGGGGCCTGCTTCAGCCCATAGAGGGCCTTCTTCAGCTTCCACACTCTGCCACTACCATCATCAAACCCCTCTGGCTGCGCCATAAAAATCTCCTCCTCAAGGATGCCGTTAAGGAATGCCGTTACGATGTCCATTTGCTTTACTACCCATCCTTTGATGGCGGCTCCCGCGAATAGGGTTCGCAGCGTCGTCGGCTTCACCACAGGGGCAAACAGCTCCTTGAAGTCCACCTTCTCCTTCTGCTGGTACCCCTTGGCTACAAGCCTAGACTTGTAGCGCTCGATCTTGCCGTCGGCATCCGACTTGATTTTGAAGAGCCACTTGGACGTTATCGCCGTACGCCCCTCCGGTAGCTCCACCAATTCAAACGTGTCATTCTCCTCGATGCTCTTCAGCTCACTCTCCATGGCCTTCTTCCACTCCTCAGCATCACTACTCTCCAAAGCCTCCTTGAGAGTTGCTGGTTCTCCCGGCATCTCCACCGGAGAGAAGAACGCGAAGGCACACTCCTCGTAGTCACTCTCCTCGTCGTCTCCGACCATCATTGCCGCTCCGGCCAGGGCTGTCTTGCCCTGCTTTCCCGGCGCATCATAGGTCAGCCTATTAGGGGGTTGAACTCTCCTCTTCCCCCTTCCTTCCTCCTCAGCTGCAGGGACTTGAAGGCCTTGGCGTTGCTGCGGTGTGGCTCGAATCCGTGGAGCACTCGTAGTACGGGAAGGGAGTGACGGTGCACGCTCGCTCACTTGCTGCACCTCCTCCTCTTCTTCCTCTGCATCATTGGCCTCCTCTCCCCCATTCACAGGGGAGGATTGCCTTGTGGTTGTGCTGCCGCTGCTCAGTTCTAAAGGCAGCTCCACATGCTCCAAACCGGAACTCTTCACCTCCCCAAACCGCACGCCTATCTTCGCCTCATTCTCCGCCTTCCAATCCTTGTACATGAAGTTCTCCATGAACTTGCAGTCCCTGCTCACCAAGAACTTCTTGGTGAATGGGTCCCAAAGAAGCCATCCCTTGCTGTTTTGAGCCATGCCCAAGTGCACGGCCCACACCGCCTTGGCACCAAGCTTGTTGTGCCGAAGATGCTTAGGCACGAGCGCCATGCACATGCACCCGAACACCCGAAGCATATCCACCTTTGGCTTCCTTCCTAGCCACTCCACATAGGGCACCCATTTGTCTGCTCCTACATGAGTCAAGGCTCTGTTCTTGGCCACACACTCGCTCCGCACCGCATCAGGCCAGAAATAGTCGGGTAGCCCGGCTTCAATGAGCAACCCGCGTGCCGCCTCCGTGATTGTGCGGTTCGCTCGCTCGGCGATGCCGTTCATTGCAGGGGAGTATGGCATGGTGAGGGAGTGCCGAATACCATTCTTCTTCAACCACAACCCAAACTCCTTGCTCAGGAACTCTCCCCCTCGATCGGTGCGGATTGACTTGACTAGACGGTCTTGTTGCCGCTCCACCATCGGGAACCAATCCGTCTTCAACGTTTCAGCCACGTCGCTCTTCTTGGCCAGCACGTACACCCAAGTCATGCGGGTGTAGACGTCGACAATGGTGAGAAAATACTCAGCTCCAGCAGCTCCAAGCTTCAGGGGGCCCACCACGTCCATCACCACCTCATCAAGCGGTGCCTTTGCCGTTGCCTCCGAACTAGGGAACGGAAACCGGGTGAACTTGGCTTGAATGCACGTCGGGCAGCCAAGCACCTCATCGGGCTCCCCCTTCACACGTATGCCAGCAACCATCTCATTCTTCACTAGCTGCTGCAAGATGGGCAGGGCCACATGCCCCATGCGCCGATGCAAGGTGAGCCAATCACACTCCCCCGTAGCCGAAGTTGGATTGGAGAATGCCGCGCTCGCAATAGCGCCCCACATACTCTCTCCGTAGTCCTCCTCCGCTGCTGCCTCTGGGTTCTCCTCACCCTTTTGCTGCTCCTTGGTTGCTGCACCACTCTCCTTAGGTTCACTGAACTTGCTGGTCCCTCCAGGTTTGCTCTTCTTGAGCTCATTCTCCTTAGCGCGACCGACCGCGCCATCGTTCTCTGGACCAGCCGGTACTTGCGTCGACACGAAGTAGAATAGACCCGGGTATCGATCGTCGCTCGGGTCCTTGTCGTTGTCTCCGCTCTTCATGTTTGCAGCTCCGCCACCGCGACCGCCACGGCCTCCACGGCCTCGTCCTCTCCCTTCTCCTGCTCCTCTACCCTCTTGGCCTTGAGCAGGGGTCCAACCATCAGGGAGTTTGTAGCAGTCGCGCCACATGTGTCCGCTCTTGTGGCAATAGTGACACTCGCCGTCGAATCGGCCGCGACCGCGTCCGTAGCTCTTGTCGTCGCTGCCGTAACCGCCACTCCTGCGGCCTCCGCCGAAGTTGCTGCCACCAAACCTTCCTCCCCCTCGTCCTCTGCCTCTTCCTCGACCATATCCACGGCCGATGCTCGCTGCCCCAGCGGCATCCGCACTCGCCAACTCACGGCGGCGGAAATCCTCTTGAAGGATAGCTCGCTTCACGTCTTCAAGCGAGAGGCGGGGCAAGTCGCGATTAAGGTTGATGATGAGCGAGGACCATGACTCTGGGAGTAAGGCCAGCAACTTGGTCTTCTTTTGGAGCTCACTGTAGTTCAAATCAGCTCCCTCAAGCCGCGTCAACAAGTCGAAGAATTTCTGCACCCCTTCTTCAACCGCTTCGTCTTCTTCAATTCGTAGTGCCGTCATTTGCCGTTCCAACACCACCGCTACCGCCGCTGTTGCAGGAGCATGTACACCCTTGAGAGCAGCCCATGCCTTTGGTCCTTTCTCTGGTTCACGCTGGAATGGCTTGATGTGACGGATCTGACTGCTCCCCAACGCTTGCCCAAGTAAGAGATAGCCTTGTGCGCTCTTCCGCACCCACGGGCTCTTCTCCGGGTCGTTCTCGGGGCGCTTCTCCATTCCTTCCATCACCTCCAGCAGGTCATAGTGGTCAAAGATGTTCTCCATCTTGAAGGACCATTCAGCAAAGTTGTCACCGTTGAACTTGTCAAGCCCAAACACCCTAGGCTCATCCCTAGGTGGGCCAAGACTTGGTTGCATGGGCGCCATGGCTGAATCACGGGGTTGGCCTTGAGCTTGAGCTTCTCCACTGCCACCAGCACCTCTGCCACCCCTTTCCTCAGGTCCAGACATTGTCGAAACTGCTCCAAGGGGCTCTGATACCACTTGTTATAGTCACAATAGGCTTGAATGTGCCTAAAACGAAAGATAGAGAGCACAGACGGATTTCTGCACAGCGGCTTCAAACGTTGATAGCGTTCTGCTCACAGCTGCAAATGACTTGATTCAAATTGGATCTGGAGCGTCGTCACGTCGTCTACAATTAGCAATTTAGATTGCACGATCTGATAAATAATTGACGACACAGCGTCGGTTTGAACGAACGGTACTATGGCAGCCACTATAGTCTTAGAACACAAGATAGGAAGAGTTACGAGTTGGGAATGACTCCCAGCTCCTACAAACCCCAAGAGCCGAGGTACAGTGATGTGGAACAGTGCCACACTGTCCCCAACCACGAAGGGTCTCGAAACTACCCTTCACTAGGGCCTACACCAAGTGAAATGTTACACTACACAAAGTAATGTAACTATCTTCAATATCTTGAGGTGTACCCTTTTGGCAAGCTTCGAAATCACTTGAGGCTTGACACCAAGGCTCGGGCTCTTCATCACAAACTCATCCTTGAGTTCTTGATGGGTCTGCTGCACACACCTGCGACACGCCGAACGTTCGACACAGGACAAAATAGAAACCGCGCACGACAAAATAGAAACCGCGCGCGAGACACAAACGACCGCGTAACACGCGTCTAGCGATAACTCGCTATTGACTCGACACACACACTCGACATCATGACTCAACATTCACACACAATTATAAGCATGAAATATATATTATCCCATGCCCTCATACCATTCCATACACACACACATTCACGCACACGGACAACAAGACGAGTGCAAACCGTAGGGTTGCACCAACAGGAGCTGCTTTGCGGCGATCCTAGCCCTTCCCAACCTTGTCGTTTTTCAGTCGTCCAGCATGAGACACATCGTTCAGTCGCCCGCCCAGCCGTCGGACGCTGCCTCACGATAACGAGTTTATTGAACGTAATTTCCATCATGAGAAACTCACTCAGCAACTTCTGGAACCAATTGGTTTGCTGGGGACCACGGAGAAGGGAGGGAAGGTAGGGAAGGAAGGAAACCGAAGGAAAAGCTGACATTCGATCCGTCATCGCTCACTTCTCTTGTAGATGCGGTTCGGTTCAGGCGTTACGAAAAATGTTGAGAGAGTGACCATCTCTCGATTATGGATGCCCCAAAGAAAACACGGGCAGTATATGTTATGTATAAGTATCACTGTGTGAGTCACGGTTTCATTGTCGGTACAGAATGGGTTTCCCGACACCCTTTTACAGAAGCAGCAACGCAAGAGGCTGCTGTAGGAAACAATCAGAACAGAATGAGCCATGTGATCCAGTTTTACGATGACATGTGTGTACACTTTCTTTGGGGATCCCAGAACACCATCACTGCTGGAATTGCCGAAACGTACGACAAACAAGTCACAAATTCGTGATACAGTAACCCGGCCAATATGTAAGTGTACAACCGACGCAGGGAAACCACGAATTTCTTCACGTGCACACATTTTGGATGGCACGCACCGCGAATTTACAAGGATGCATTCCACCCGCAGCGCCCGAGGATAGCAGACCAGCGAAAGGAAATTCTCACCACACACAGTTCATATGTTGACGAACTTGATAAGGAGTCCAGCGAGAATTCTAAGGTGTTAGTGGGCTCAGCAAAAACATAGAAAATGAAGGTTGTGGATGAGGAGATTCATTTGATACTAGGAGTTTTAGCTTAGTGGTTAGAATCAAGCCAGATCCCACCCGTTCAATCTTCCGTTACCTCACTAGCCGCAAGTTCTTCCGCTACTGTATTCTTGGTACTGGGCGAAAAATGGACTCACTGAAGAGCCTCATTATTACCGCTAGAGAACACACTGAAGACCCCTGCTTGTTGGCGTGCTTTGAATTGAGTTGTTCCCCCATAATCCCCCTCTTATCTCAAACCCATATTTCAGAATCACCATCACTACAATCACATCAAAACGGCCCCTTCTTGTAGCTCAGCTGCCACTGCATCTTCACCTCGGGATTATCCATCGTTTGACTCCTCGCCCACCCACCATCCCTCCCCTTCCGAGACGCCTCGATAGACTAAAGTTGTTTCAAAACGGCCCCCTCTTGTAACTCAGCTGCCGCTGCATCTTCACTTCGGTATTATCCATCGTTCGACTCCTCGCCCACCCACCACCATCCTTCCCCTCCCTCTCCTTCTCCCTCCCTTTCTCTTTCTCCTTCTCCTTCCCCTCCTTCTCCTTCCCTCCCTTCCCCTCTTTCGAATCCCTCCCAAACAAAGCTGCCTTGAGCGAAAAGCTCGTGCTCTTGCTAACTTCTCTCCCCGTGCCGCCACCCTTCCCCATGTCCTTACTCGACATGCTCTTTGTCACCTCTATCCTCCGCGCTGCTCCCGATACACCCCCCTGCACCCTCTCCCCTCGATCCCCTCGCTCCCTCGCCTCCTTGCCCCCTGTCCTCCCCTGCCCGAACCCTCCTCCTCTGTCCGCGCTCCTCCTGTCCCCCTTGTCACCCGACTTCCCCTCTCCTCTATCCATCGTTCGAGTGCGCAAAAACCCACTATCACCAACCCCACCCCCACCACCACTACCAGCCGCACCCCTGGGGGTCTTGGGATTGTGTTCCCTGGGCGTTTTAGGAACCATCTCTGCTCCTCCTGCCCCTGTCCCTCGTGACCTTCGCTCTCGCCCCCCTCCTCCCGGTCCCTGCGTCCCACCGTACGGATCCTCAAACTCGTCTAAACGCTCCCTCCTTCCACTCCCACCGCTCCCTCCCTCCACTCCCCACCCCCCTCCTCCTCCTGACCCTCCTCCTCCTCCTCTTCTCCTCCCGCCTTCCTCCATCTCCCACGCGCCGCTCTTACTTCGCCCTCGCACGCTCTTAGGCCCGCCGCCAACCCCCCCGCCCTCTCCCCTGGGAGTGGAGGGAACAGCAAGCTTCAAACTCAGCTGCCTCTTTAAAGCTAGACCGCCATACCCCTCCGCTCCCTCCCCCTTCCGCCCATCCCTTTCCGCCGCTCGCCCATCTCCCCCTCTCCATTCCCCCCCTCTCCCGTCTCCCCTCCCTTCCACCCCTTTCCTGGGAGTCCGAGCAACATCACCCCCATACCTCTTCCCCCTCCCTCCCTCCTCCCCATCTTCCATAGGCCTCTGAAGCCGCCCCCTCTTGTCCTCCCCATCGTCCATAGGTCTCTGTATCCGTCCCCTCCTCTCCTCCCCATCTTCCATAGGCCTCTGAAGCCGCCCCCTCCTCTCCTCCCCATCCTCCATAGGCCTCTGTATCCGTCCCCTCCTCTCCTCCCGCCCACCCTGTGCTTGCCCGCTCTTCCCCATCGGCCCTGCTCCTCCCACACCAACCTTTGCCTTCTCGCCTCTCCGCTCCTCGCCTCTTTTCATGCTAAGAGATCTCACATTCGTCTGCACATCACCGTCCTCGATATAAGCTTCCTCGACCTGGTCGTCAAAGGCCACGCGCTGCTTGCGTCTGGTAACTGCTTCTGCTGCTGCTGGTGCTTCCTCCTGCAGGTAACCATACTGCTGGTTTTGCTGCTGCTGCTGCGGCTGCTGCTGCTGATAATTCTGAGGATACTGCTGATTCGGTTGTTTCGTTCGTCTCGGAGTAACAGGATCATATCTAGGAGTTACAGCATCGTATCTTGGGGTTACAGGATCGTATCTTGGAGTCACAGGATCAAATCTTGGTGTGACAGGATCGAATCTCACCTCACCACCCCCACCACTCGCTCCACCTCTAGCAGCCACATGTCGCGGCGTGATTGGCTGATGAATCCCCCCCACAGGCTTTTTCAAGCGTCCAGGGGTAGTGGGAGCATACTGTTGTTGTGCTGCTGCTGCTGCTGAAACCACCTGTTGTTGCTGCTGCTGTTGCTGCTGTGGGTAATTTCCCCTTCCTTCGTCTCCACTCAGCCTCCCTCCCTGCCCGCTCCCTTTTCCTCCTCTTCCTCCACTCCCCCCCGCAGCACGGCCAGGAGTGATGGGAGGGCAATAAACCTCCTCCTGCTGCCCAGAACTATCCCCAGGCCCGGATTGGAACTGTATAGACTTTCTACCTGCCCGCCGAGGTGTTACAGCAGGAATGCTACCCTGCCCGTAAGACTGGGCAGGGGGAAAGGTCTCTTGGGGTGGAACAAAGTGGTGGTCAAAGTATGGGCCAGGGCTTTGCATGGGTGGGGTTTGCTGCGGGCCGTATGGCTGCTGCTGCTGCTGCTGGTGGTGATAGTAGGGCTGCGATCCCTGAGAATAACCCTGCTGCGGATCTTGGGTATACGGCTGCTGCTGCTGCTGCTGCTGGGAAAACGATTGCTGTTGCTGCTGGTCATACGAGAATGCTTGCTGCTGCTGCTGCTGCCGCGGATCAACAGACTGCTGGGAGAAAGAGGTTGAGGGGTCAGAGGGTTGGAAGTACGAATTGAAAGCATCTGCATACTGTTGTTGCTGTTGCTGCTGCTGCTGCTGCGAGTAAGACTGTAGGGAGTAGTGTTGTTGAGAGTCCTGCTGCTGGCCCTGCACGTACGACTGCAGCTGCTGCTGCTGCTGCTGTGAGTAATGCTGCTGGGAGTGAGGGTGGTGGTCATTTCCATACCCATCCCCATACTCATCTCCAAACCCATCCCCGGTATCAATCCCATACCCATCTGCGAACCCAGTGTCTTGATCAACGCTGTTGCCATACCCATGCCCATACGCATCCCCTAACCCAGTGTCTGGGTCGTGTCTGGGTTGGAAGTCCTGCTCATGCCACTCACCGCCACTGCCATTGCCTGCTGCTGCTCCCTCTAATCCCAACCCCTGTTGCTGCTCCTGCTGCTGCTGCTCCTGCTGCTGCTGCTGCTGCTGCTGCTGCTGATGATGATGATGATGCTGATGATGCTGCTGGTAACCATACTGACCATACCCCTCACCCTCACCCCATGCGTCCCCCTCTCCCACCCCCCCACCCTCCCTCCATCCGCCCCCTTCCCCCACGCTCCCACCCTCCTCTGCTCGTCCCCCCACCCCTGACTGCTCGCCCCCCCACCCCTCATCATCCGAACGTTGCCCCAACCGCGTCCGCCCCACACCCCCTCCCCCTCCCCTTCCGCGTCCTCCACCTATCCCCCTCCCTGCTCCACCTCTCATTCTACCCCTTGCACTGCTATTATCACTCTCCCCTCCACTGCCCATTCCCTCCCCACCAGAACCAGAACCAACCCGACCTAGTATTCTCTGACCCTTACCCACCTTCTTTCCACCGACAGCAGCAGCAGCAACAGCAGCAGCACCACTGGCACCAGCACCAGTACCAGCAGCAGCAGCAGAACCAGCAGCAGTGGATTGGAGAGTAGCAGGGGCCGTGGCACGGGCAGCAGGGCGAGCGAGGGGAGTGGAGGGAGAGGGAGCAGGCAAATCCGATCCCCTTGCGTCATCTGACCAACCACCCCCAGTGGGAACCAGAGCGATGGCTCGTGCGGTTACCGCACCAGCCACCTGTGACTCATCACACTCCTGCTCCTCCTCCTCGTGCCCTTCCTCCTCTTCCTCCTCCCCCTGCCCCCTCTCCTCTTCTTCCCCCTCCTCCCCGTCCTGATGGGACGAGTAGCGACCAGACCCATCCCCATGCGACAAGTACCGACCCGACCCCTCTCCATGCGACGAATACCGACCGGACCCATCCCCATGCGATAAATATCGACCGGACCCCTCCGCATGCGACGAATGTCGCCCAGAGCCGTTCCCATATGCTGCCCCAGTCACATCAAACGACCCGTACATATCATCCATCTCCCCTCCCACATGCCCTCCCACATGCCCTCCTGCGTCCCCCCTTGCATGCTCCTCATCCCAATCTCCTGTACCCTCTCCACTCGCATACTCGTCCCTGCCATACCCCCCCTCTCCATACCCCCCCTCTGCATACCCCCCCTCTGCATACCCGCCCTCTGCATATCCCCCCTCTCCATACCCCCCTGCTCCACGCTCCCCCTCTCCTCCGTACTCCTCCTCTGCATGCTCCCCCTTCCCATACTCCTCCTCTCCATAACTCCCATCTCTAGCTCCATACCCTCTCTCTCCACCTCGGTTAAACCCCAAGTCTTGACCATACATGTCCGCACCCCCTTTCTCCTCCTCCTCCCCTTCCTCACTCTTCTCCCCCACGCCATCCTCATCATCATCCTCATCCTCCTCTCTCTCCCATTCCTTCAGCCGCGAAGCACACTTCTCTGCCCACCGTGCCTTCTCATCCTCCCCTACCCCTCCCACCGCCCGCATCCCGTCACACACTGATAGCTGTGCCTGCCCCTGTGCGGTCCCCTGTGAGTGCCCCTGTGACTGTCCCTGCAAAGCAGCCTCCTTTTGAGCCTGTCTGTGCTGTTTAAAATCCTCCTCCTCCCCTTCCTCCTCCTCCCCTTCCTCCTCCTCCTCCTCCTCCTCCTCCTCCTCCTCCTCCTCCTCCTCCTCCTCCTCCTCCTCCTCCTCCTGCTCCTCCTCCTCTCCCTCCTCTCCAACTCCCCCAAACCCCCTATTTCCTCCTCTCCTATCCCCCCCATACCCATCATAAGTGTCCTCGTCATGCTCGTTATAGACAGCACCACAGTACACTCCGCCATTTTCAAGAGAACCGTCTTTTGAATCCCTGGTCCTTCTCCTTCCCCCCACTTCCCCTTCCTCCTCCTCCTCCTCCTCCTCCTCCTCCTCCTCCTCCTCCTCCTCCTCCTCCTCCTCCTCCTCCTCCTCCTCCTCCTCCTCCTCATCTCCTCCGCCCTTCTCCCTTCCCACACCTTCCTCTCCCTCCTCGTCCTCCTGCCCCTCGTCCACCACTTCCCATCCCTCGCCGTGCCTACCATCTCCACCGAACAAGTCGCCATCCTCCCGCCCTTTATAAGCACTTCCCTCACCTCCACTCCCCCCTCTAGACCCTCGCTTCCCAGCCTCACGCACCCCTGCCTGGCCCTCGTTTCTGTCACGGAATTCATAGTCACACTCACCTTCCTGCTGCTCCCAGATCGCATCTCCACCGTCCATACCCCTGCTGAGGTCAGCAGGAGCATCATTCCTCTCAATATTAACACCTTCATTATATGCACCCTCCACGCGTCTCCGCCCTTTCAATCCACTGCCCGTTACCAAACCAGGTGCAGCAGACGCAACAGGAGCAAGAGGAGGAGCGGAAACAGCAGCAGCACCACCACCACCGGCGCCACCAGCGGCAGCAGGAGCGACAGGAACAGCAGGAGCAGGGAGAGGAAGAGGAGGAGCAACGTTCGGATCCACTACAGCTGCTGTTTCAAACCACGCGTTAACCTTTCTTACAGGCCCTCTCAACCAAGGGTCCAAGTGCTGGTCTGCTGCTAAGTCACCACCCTGCTGCTGCTCCTGCTGCTCTTCCTGCCGCTGCTTATGCTCTTCTAACTGCTTCTCGTCCAAGACCTGTACACCACGTCCTCGTTTGAAGATGCTCTGTCTTAGCGCATCCGGATGCTGGTTAGGGTAATTTCCGACAGGTGTGGAGATAGAGTAACCCAACGGGATGTCGTCCCACTCGTTATTAGGCTTCGGAACGTCCTCTATCGGATCCAGAACCTCTCCCACAACAGCACAGCTGTTATCCGCGTTACAGACTTCACTGCTAGTAATCACCCGAAGCCCGCCATCCCCATTATTGAAGTCCTCCCCTCCGGATACACCAACGTCGTCTCCCTCCTCCTCCACTTCTCCGCTCTCCTCGTCTCTTATATACTCCATGTCGTTATAACTATCCCTGTGTCGACCCCGTCCCCTCTCCTTGTACCTTTCACCGGGCCCCCCTCTTATAGTTTCCTCGGTGCTTCTGCTCCGTGAAACAGCTTGCTGCGTTGAGGCCTTTACTTTGACCTTCCTTCCTTTCTGCTGTTTCTGCTGCTGCTGCTGCTGCTGCTGCTGCTGCTGCTGCTGCTGCTGCTGCTGCTGCTGCTGCTGCTGCTGCTGCTGCTGCTGCTGCTGCTGCTGCTGCTGCTGCTGCTGCTGCTGCTGCTGCTGCTGCTGCTGGGGTTGCTGCTGGTGCTGTTGGTGCTGTGGCATCTGCGGTTGCTCGTGCCACGTGTCATGATGATCACCGTACAGCTCATCAGCAGGATTATCATAGCCTGAATGATCATAATCGTTACCCTCGTACGCGTAACCATCGTGAAAATGCTCATGCGAATCATCCCCCGTAGCGTCCCGCGCTCCGTACTCGTTATAGTCAGCTTGCAAAGAATACTCATTGTAACGATCCTCGGACGCGAACGCGTCCATTGCGGCGGGCTCTGCGGCGAGTGCAAGTAATGCTGGTTGATGCGGTCGAGAAGTCAAATGTGTCGACTGAAATGCTACTTCCATGCGTTCACCTAGACCGTCAGATACGCCTCAGTATGCGAAATGTGACTTGCATTTATCTCAGACTGAGGTGACATGGGTTTTAAATTAAATTTCAATAAAAGCTACTTAGAGTAGTGGAAATAAATAAGGACGACAGACAGGTAAAGTCAATTGCGGTAAGAGGGAGTCTGTGGGTTCTGAGGAACCGCGAAAATATTAACTACCTAATTAGAATGACCTAATTTTGTCAGTCGACGACACGACACTCGAACTGCTACTGTATGGTGTTGGCTTGCCTAGTGACGTCACCCATGTGGGGTTGTTGGTGGTGCCCCGTCAGAGCTTGCAATGGAGGCTGCTCTTGTTGTCCTTTCATCCCGCTGCCCGACAACACGTACAAACGTACGACCAGAGACTGTATACAGGTCTTGTAGCAATCAATGCATCACTTTTAGCGGGAGTTTCATCCTACACATGGAAGTGTCTACAGTGCGACAATCAGTACCCACTGCCCATGTGTAAAGCACATACCAGTATCGTCGTGACTCGTGAGGCTGCAAAAGGTATATTCTCGCTATTGTAAACCCGACAAACACTTCCAACAGAAAAATGTGAGGGCTCGCTTAGACTATGAAGCCAGGAATGATGATATAAAACTATTTCATAGCCAACACGCATCTATTTCAATACCTTTTCAGCAAAGTGACACACTCAGCTCCCCTCCGCCGCATCAGCCTCCCTCTTCTCCACCTCCTTTTCCACAACAGTCGCAACAAAATCCTCATCGCCCATCTCCGCCACCGAAACACCCATCGCAACACTCCACTCCACCACTCGCGCCAGAGCCGGCGGATCCACCGCCAAACCTCCCCTCTCTAGCGCCCGAATCGCCGCCGCTACTCGACAAATCCTCTCCCGCTCTTCCACACCCACAACCGTCTCAGCCACACCTTTCCCACCAGCACCGCCACCAACACCCCCGCTAGCCCCTTCACCCTGGGTTCCAGATGGGCCGGATGAAGAGGTGGGGGGAGGCGGTTGGCCCACCCATAGCCAGCCATTGCAGCCAAAGACAAGGAGCGGGCCGGAGGGCGAGAGCATGTGAAAATGTTGCTTGAGGCGGCGTACGAGGTATGGGGGGACGTGCACGAGTAGACCCCCTGACAACTGCAGTGGAACAGTGCGTGGGGGATGGGAACAGAAGGGCATGAGGTTCATGACGATTCATGACGCCTAGCACCCCCTTGTCATAACCACGGGCGAAATAAAACTCCATCCAACTAAACCTGGTCATATACGGAGTTACAAGACGTCTCAAATTAGAGCACTATGCATCAATACCTTGCCATATTTATCGCTGCGAGTGTGCAACACCACCGAGCCATCATGAAACACCCTCTGGACCTCTGCCTGTAACCATGGGGGTGAAGAAGAAGAGGAGTTTAGAAGAAGAAGAACAACTCATGATTTGATCCTTCACCTGTGCAACAATCGGATCGTGCTATTCTGAGACAGATAAATATCACAAAAATACGCCGGACAATACAAACTCTCACAACAAACACAGCACCGTCAAAACACTGATCCGTGCGACAAAGAGGCACTGCCGGCCATTGCACACATTGATCCCAACTACCGTTCACACAAACAATCATGCCTTGACTTGACCTAGACCTCCACTAACCATCTACGTGCTACTCTGTACATGCTCCTCATGCTTTCACGTTCAGCTCATCCACAGTAGAGAAGTGAAGAGGAGACGTTAGAGGCGCCGCAAGGAGCGCTACTCGACTCACCGTGACAAGGTCGCCCTCCACATAGATGTTCCTCATGTTCAGTTCATCCACTGCTGTGCGCCGCCTCTGGTACAAGACAGGGAAATACAACGAGATGAGGGGTGAGAAAAAGGAGAGTCATGGATGACGCATGCACAGAAAACAAAGCGCTCTTGGATAGAAAAAGCTGTGATAACATTGGCACCACTCTATCACGGCTGCACTTCGGCCTTCCTTAGTACCCTCTGCCTCATCCTGTTTGACACAGTCTCAGCTGCACTCCAACCCCTCAGCAGGTTGCTCACAAGGTGTGCCTCCTGCACCAACCCCACGAGGTGACTTTTGAGGCGACTCAAAAGTCACCTCGTTACAATGGCACGCGAGCTGTGCCTTCCTCCTGCACCAACCCCACGAGGTGACTTTTGAGGCGACTCAAAAGTCACCTCGTTACAATGGCACGCGAGCTGTGCCTCCCTCCTGCACCAACCCCACGCCCACATCCAGCTTCCACCGCTTCTTCCCCCCCCCCCACCCCTTCTCTTCCCCACAAGCACCTTACGACGAGCCCGCCTCCTCACCTACCTCCTCCTCACCTGGGCTCCTCCCGGCAGGTTGATAGCGGAGAGCATGAGCTGTGCTTCATGCGCCGACCCCACAGCCAGCTTCCACCTCTTGGGGGCGAGCTCTGTCACCCGCCCCACCACCACGTCTCCTGTTTGTGCCACGTACCTGGGGTATGGGGAGAGAGGGGGGGAGGGGGAGAGGGTGGGGAGGTGGGGAGGTGAGGGGGGACTGGTGCAGTGTTCCACTGTCCACCTCTTGGGGGGTGAGCTCTGTCATCCGCCCCACCACCACGTCTCCTGTTTGTGCCACGTACCTGCAGAGGGGGGGTGGAGTGAGAGAGAGGAGATAAGGGGCGTTGGGGAGAGAGAGGGGTATTTTTTTGCACATTCAGCTTCCACCGCTTGGGGCGAGCTCTGTCACCCAGCCCACCACCACGTCTCCTGTCTGTGCCACGTACCTGCAGTCAGTGTAGGGAGAAGGGAGGGATGGGAAGAAGGTGGGTTGGGTTGTTATGCCACTGTTGCAGTGCCCCACTGTCCACCGCTTGAGGGGCGAGCTCTGTCACGCGGCCCACCACCACGTCTCCTGTCTGCGCCACGTGCCTGGGGTATGGGGAGAAAGGGTTAATGGGGGAGAAGGGGAGGGCGAAGAGGGGAGAAACTGAAAGTTTACACTTGGGGACGAGCTCTGCCACGCGCCCCACCACCACGTCTCTGTTACCAGGCTTGCCCTACACTTGAAGCACATGACACGACACGACACGACACGACACGACACGACACGACATGACATGACATGACTTGAACACCTGATATCATATCACAAGACATGACAAAGCACCGCGACGCACCAGGTTTTGAGCGGTTGCACGGAGAGGAGAGGAGAGGAGAGGAGAGGAGAGGAGAGGAGAGGAGAGGAGAGCAGAGCAGGCGGTTGATGAGCTTCACCACACATGGCATGCACGCTCTGCCACATACCAATCCACATGATATTCCCTGACAACACAACACAACACATCACAGCACAGCACAGCACAGCACAGCCCACAGCCCACAGCCCACAGCCCACAGCCCAGCCCACAGCCCACAGCCCAGCCCACAGCCCAGCCCAGCCCACAGCCCAGCCCAGCCCACAGCCCAGCCCAGCCCACAGCCCAGCCCAGCCCACAGCACATACCACGTCTTGAGCGGCTGCACGGAGAGCAGGCGGTTGATGCGCTTCACCACGCCGCACACCGTGGCACACACCTGCCCCTCCTCGCCCTCCCTCGTGCCGTGCCCCCTGCCGATTCCATCCAGGCGCACAGAGGGGGAGGAGGAGCAAAGCAGAGCAGCAGCAGCAGCATTGTTAGCTACGAAGTGTTAGCGTGATTGCAGACGCAGTGAGCATCCCACAGTAGAATTTATCACCTGAGGAAGGTGCTACTTGAGAAGGGTTCTACCTGAGAAAGCTAAGGACGGCGTTACCTGAGGAAGGATGCATCGGCGCCGATCGGGAGGGCGTCCCCGACGGCGACAATCGACGACGGCCGCACGCTCGAGTCGAGCGCGCGGAGTCGCTGCAAGGCGGCGTCTAGTCGCACCTCCGCCGCGCTGTCGCGCGCAAACCCTAGCGACATCGTCGCCCGTCGCTAGTCGCTCGGCTCTTGTCGTTTCTCGGTCGTTGCGCGTCGCAGGCGCAACGAAGTGCGGTAAATGATTGAAATGCACCAATGATACAGCGAGGCCCGTACAATGAGGGAGATATATCAGTTTTCTCGCAAGAACAAAAGCTGATAAACCGCTGCGCCTTCCGCCGCCCCCAAAATCTAGGCAAATTTTGGAAAATAGTGGCAGGGGGTAACCCGGACATGCTTATGCGAAGATTACTGGAGCTGGCGAGTTATTTACTTTCGAGAGTTGGCTGGAAGTCAAGCGGCGATTGGTCGCGAACAGGGAGTTGCTCTGGCGATCATTGATAAAATGTAACGGAAATGTATAAATAATTATGTCCAGCAGCAAAATTCATCACATCGAATAATATATGAGCTTCTGCTGTATGTGAAACATTTTTACTGAATTGCGCATCATGTAAAACTGCACTACAGATTGATGCACATGTGGTTTGTGGCGTCATGGTACCATAGTTTATGGTTCTTCATCCGCGACACCTTTGCATCGTAGCCTGCAAGTGGTGGGGAGGTCGAGTTAGCAAATGAAGAGGTGGTAAAAGATGGGATCCCATCGCACATGAATGGTTGAAATTAGAGCAAGGGGGAATGGGGAAGGGAAGAAGGGCAAGTGGGGAGAAGGGAGAGGCTCACACAATGTGCTTTAGGTAAATAACAAGGGTGGGGATGAGGATGGGGAGGAGAGTTGAATAGAGGCAACCGCTGCTGATACAAGTGCTGTATTTGGACGTGTTGAAGCTGCTAGGACAACCCACCTGCGATCCAGTTATTGTGTAGAATCACACACCCTCTCCTTTCACACTCCTCCCTCGCACTTGCATCCCCAGCAGATACCACCTCCCCCTGGCCATCAGCACCAGATAACACCTCCCCTTGTCCACTGCCAGCATCTCCTTCCCTGGGCCCCCACAGCTGGTAAACTGCCCCGTTGGGAAAATGCTGACGTGGCAGGAAGACTACTCGCAGGCCATTGGTCCACTGGCATGCATCAGAGCCCACCTGGCATGCGGCAGGTAGGATAGCATAGGTGATGGGATGAGCACAGTGAATGTGCGGCAGGATGAATGAATGAGAATAACAGAAGCGATGGTGAGAGAGAGCAGAACAAGCTACTTACCCTTCGCTCCCCGTGCTCCCCACACAGCACATCATAGAAGGAAGGCTGCTCCGACAGCTGTGAGTGTGCCGCGTGTTTGGACAAGAGAGGAAAGGGTGACAGAAGTGACAATGCGGGCACAAAGAGCCACTCACCCGCCGCTCCCCATGCTCCCCACACAGCACCTCGTAGAAGGAAGGCTGCTCCGACAGCCGTGAGTGTGCCGCATGCTTCACCACAGCGGTGAGTGAGAGTGACAGCAGCATGTGCCAGGGAAAAAGAGCAGCACTTTAACATTCAGACAGGACACGCCACTCACCCGCCTCTCCCCATGCTCGCCACACAGCACATCGTAGAAGGAAGGTTGCTCCGACAGCCGTGAGTGTGCCGCATGCTTCACCACAGCTGTGAGAGCAGCAACGGTGAGAGGGTCAGGGCGAGCAAGGTAGAACCCACTGTTGATGCGGCGGATAGAGTTGGGTGGGAGTGAGGGGTCAGGCTCGTTGCTCTGATGGTGGGGGAGAGTGGCATAGGGTGCACAGAGAAACAGGAGTGGGAGTAAGGGGCACTGGTAAAAGGGGTGAGCGAGGTAGAAGCCACTGTTGATGCGGCGGATGGACTTGGCTGGGAGTGCGGGGTCGGGTTCGTTGCTCTGATAAGAAGGGAGAGTGAAAGAAGGGAGAGTGAAAGAAGGGAGAGTGAAAGAAGGGAGAGTGAAAGAAGGGAGAGTGAAAGAAGGGAGAGTGAAAGAAGGGAGAGTAAAAGAAGGGAGAGTGAAATAAGGGAGAGTGAAAGAAGGGAGAGAGAAAGAAGGGAGAAAGAAAGAAGGGAGAGAGAAAGAAGGGAGAGAGAAAGAAGGGAGAGAGAAAGAAGGGAGAGAGAAAGAAGGGAGAGAGAAAGAAGGGAGAGAGAGAGAAGGGAGAGAGAAAGAAGGGAGAGAGAAAGAAGGGAGAGAGAAAGAAGGGAGAGAGAGAGAAGGGAGAGTGAAAGAAGGGAGAGAGAAAGAAGGGAGAGAGAAAGAAGGGAGAGAGAAAGAAGGGAGAGAGAAAGAAGGGAGAGAGAAAGAAGGGAGAGAGAAAGAAGGGAGAGAGAAAGAAGGGAGAGAGAAAGAAGGGAGAGTGAAAGAAAGGAGAGAGAAAGAAGGGAGAGAGAAAGAAGGGAGAGAGAAAGAAGGGAGAGAGAAAGAAGGGAGAGTGAAAGAAGGGAGAGAGAAAGAAGGGAGAGAGAAAGAAGGGAGAGAGAAAGTAGGGAGAGAGAAAGAAGGGAGAGTGAAAGAAGGGAGAGTGAAAGAAGGGAGAGAGAAAGAAGGGAGAGAGAAAGAAAGGAGAGAGAAAGAAGGGAGAGAGAAAGAAGGGAGAGTGAAACATACAGGGAGTGCAGGGGGAGAGATTGATACTAAGGGTCAGAGAGGTCAAAGCTGTCAGAATGTCGATGTTTGTCTAGCCTGCATTGGGGTACTCTATAGCGAGTACAACCCAATTAGGGTTTCCTATATGTATCTCAACTGCTGCTACCAATTGGGATGGTCAGCGCCAGGCCCGTGAGCGGCCCGTACCGTCTGCCCCAGTGCCGCACGCCGTCCCCCGAGCTTCTGACCGCACTCCTGTGTTAGGGTTTGGGGGTGGAGAGTATGGGGGTGCCGTGTGTGTGAGCCGTCCCCTGCTCCTCCTCCTCCTCCGTCTCCCACTGCTGCAGCTGCCGCTGAGGGGGGTGGATGTGTTGGAGCCTTCGGAGTGGTACGAGGGGGGTGGCGTGTGAGCGGTGCTAGTGGTTCAGCAGGGGGTGTGTGAAAGGGGTGTGGGACAGTTGGGGGAGGTTGACCGGAGGTAGCCGACTTGTCGTCCGCAGCGCCTGAAGTCCAGAGAGCCACGACCCCCTGTGGCCGTGTAGTCCGGGGCTCTGCGCCCGGTAGCCACAGTGTGAGCACTCCTGGTAGTCCAGAGAGCCACGACCCCTTGTGGCCGTGTAGTCCGGGGCTCTGCGCCCGGTAGCCACAGTGTGAGCACTCCTGGGAGCACAGTGAGCCAGCTGCGCCTGTCGCCGTGTAGCCCGGGTTTAGCCTGGTAGCGTCAGTGCTGCGCACTCCTGTTGCCCGTGTGTCTGCAGCTTCAGCCGTCGCCTCTCATCTTCTCGCCCTCCACAGTTTCTCCTCCTCCTCATTTGCCCTCTGTGATAGCCTCTAGCTTTGCTTATCCTTGTGAACTATTGCACTGCCTGCTTGTTGTGTTGATTGTACCCCACTTTGACTATGGAGGTGTGTCAGAATGTCGATGTTTGTCTAGCCTGCAGTGGGGTACTCTATAGCGAGTACAACCCAATTAGGGTTTCCAATATGTATCTCAACTGCTGCTAGTGAAAACCTCTCTTTTCTGTTTCTTGTTTTAGCCTGCTGTTTCGACAAAAGCCACTGTTGATGCGACAGATGGCATTGGCTGGCAGCGAGGAGTCAGGCTCACCTGTATTGCCAACACCCCCTCCCCATGCTGCCTTCTGAGGCACCTCAAAAAGCGAGGAGTCAGGCTCACCTGAATCGCCAACACCCCCTCCCTCCCCATGCTGCCACAGCATGGGCAGCGGATTCTCAAACCAAATCACGTCCACGTCACTCCACAACACAGCATAGCCCAGCTGCAGCACTCGCAGCATCCACAGGACCCACAGCATTGGCAGCACAAGGAAGCTGGATCACCCCTTGTGCACCTCACCTGAATCGCCAGCACTCCCTCTCCATACTGCCACAGCAGCGGCAGCGGGTTGTCAAACCACACCACGTCCACATCGCTCCACAGCACCGCATAGCCCAGCCGCAGCACGCGCAGCACGGCGCGGCTCTTGAGCTTGGTGTAGTGCCGGAAGCAGTGGCTGTTGAACGCACAGCCGCCTGCCCCGAGCCCCTCAGCTCCCTCTGCTCCGTCTGCCCCTTGTGCTCCTGCTGGTAACGCTGCTGCTGCAGTGGTGTTGTCGTATAAGACGGGGAGGCCGTGCAGGAGAGCAATGCGGTAGGCGGTGGGGTCGAGAGCTGCTACCAGCAGGTTGGACACTGAGAGACGGCGGAGCCTGATGGGGGGAAATGGAAATTGGATGTCATGCGCATGGTACTTACGTGAAGGCAAAGACTAGCAACAGAAGCATGAAATCCGCTAGAAAAAAGAAAAAAAAAAGGCAATATATATATATATATATGAAGGAAATCGCACAGTACTTCAGAATTGACAAACAAACGAGCATGGAATTGAAAAACGAGAACATAAAACAGAAAGGAAGAAAGAAAGGAGAAGGAAAAAGAGAGAGAAAAGGAAAAAAGAAAGAGAAAATAAATAACAAAAAAGGTGAAGAACGGATGTGAAACTAGACACAGCACATGAAAGAATGACGCACCCACATGCAAGCGAAGCTGAGAAGCATGGAGGCATAGTGGTGAGTGGCAGCCACAAGCACCACCGCCTTGTTCCCATCCGCCACCTCCCCCACCACCTCCTCTAACCCCCGTGCCCGCACCACCTCTACCTCCCCCTCCTCGTCGCCTTGTCCCCCCTCGGTCCTTCCGTTCCCCCTCTCCCGTCTCTCCCCTCCCTCCCGTCCCTCGCCTCCCACCCTTCTGACTTCCCCTCTTTCTGCACTTATTGTTTTCGCCCTTGCCGATAGCGAGGTGTTAGGCATGCTAATAGCGAGTACAGGGCGGGGAGGGGGAGGCGGAGGTTCAGGGGAGCAGGCAAAGTAGGGACCGGCACGGAAGGGGGCGGAGGGGAGGGAGGAGCGGCGGGAGGCGTGGGCGTGCTCGCAGGGGCAGATGCCAGGGCGGATGCGACGCATGAGACAGGGGTGTTCACCTGGGGGGTGGGATGTAAGTGGGAAGGCAGAGGGAATGGTTGAACAGCCACATCCCATTCAGGGGAGCAGGAGCAGAGAACCCCTGTTGCAGGAGCAGAGAACCCCTGTTGCAGGAGGCTTGGGCGTGCTCGCACGGGCAGCTGCCGGGGCGGATGCGACGCATGAGACAGGGGTGCTCGGCTGAGTGGGTGGGTGGGATGGGATGAGAGTGAAGGCAGAGAAAATGGTTGGACAGCCACATTCCATTCAGGATTGTCCAAGAGAGTGAAGCAGCACCCCCGTTGCGAGAGGTGTGCAGCTCCTGCCCGCTCCTAATATGGCAGCAGCAAGCACCACCATAAATTGCCATGACATCTCACCTTGCAACTCATGCCATGCCATCTCACCTCCCAGCCACATGCCACCGCGAATGTGCCACTATCGGCTCACCCCCCCATTTTAAAGTCGGACTCAAAAATTGACTTCTCACCCCCCCATCCCAAACCTAGTACCTAATTCTTCAGCGGCACACAATCACCATCATTACCATGCCATCGCACGCACATCCATACTATGCCATCTCACTCACCACGCGGGCCGTGCCATCTCACTCACCTCCGGGCCCATGGCACATGGCCAGATGCCATCGCAGATGCGCCACTGTAGGCTCCCCACCCAACCTCTCCCACTCCCATGCAATCTCTTCCCCCTCCTCCCCCTCCTCCTCCCCTCCAACTCCCTCTCTCATACCCCCAATGGCCCCTTCCGTCCCCTGTCCCTCCCCCCTTCCCTCCCGCCGTCCTTCCCCCAGTCCTTCCCCCCAGTCCCCGACTCCCCCTCGCAGCAGCATCTCATTCACCTGCCCATGCCACGTGGCACTATGCACAGCTGGCAGCGCCACCCACCTCCCACTCCTCCCACTCTCCCCATCCCCCCCACCCATACCCCTACTCTGCTCCGCACCCCCTCTCACCCGCTCGGCCTCTTTCACCGAGTCATAGTGAGGGTCGATGCGAACAGCAGACACAGCACCCGTCCCATCAACCACATGTACCATACCCTCCCTACTCACCCCTCCCACCTTACCATCCCTACCCTCCATTCCCACCCTATCCACCCCATGCACCAAGTCATGCTCGGGCCTCGTATATTCCCCAAGCCCCCTCCCCCTCGCCACTGCCGCACTCCTACCCTCCACCTCCCCCATCCAGTACCACACTCGCCTGTGCCCCCACTTGCCTTCCATTCCCCCCCCTCCCTCCTCTGCCTCTCCCTTCCTTCCCTCTCGACCCTTCCCCCTGCCAGCCCCCTCCCCGTTCTCTGCTCCTCCTGCCCCCTCCCTCCCCTTGCCGCTACTGCTAGCACTACCCCGCACTAGGCTCGCCCACGCCAGCTGGCGAAGCACCCACTGCCACCCCTGAGGGCCTCGCCCGTACAGGAAGGGAGGCATCGGCTCAGAAAACAACGAAACCTGCAACCCGTTCCGGTTGGATGCGGACGACGCTCCTACGTCGCCTGCTGCTGCTTTGGTCTCTGCAGAAAAGGTTGCTTCCCGGAAATGTCTCTGGCTCCACATCACAAACCCAACCGGCCCACCAGAGTCCAGCTCAGCATGCCGCCTCAAGAACCTCCGCACCCCCGCCTCATCCACGCCAGCTGGCGGCTTGTGATTGGCCGGCTGGATTTCCGGAGGGAGATTGTCGAGAACGAAGGGGAACCAGGACACTCGCCAGAGAGAAGAGGTGAGAATCCATCTCGGAGAGAGAGGGAGAGGGGGAGGGGGAGAAGAGGAGTGGTAGGAGGAGGAGGATTCTGAAGGAGACAGGGAATTCCTTTTTCGCAGCAGCCTGCCTCTGTGCCTCCTCCCTCCCCCCACCTCCTCCTCCTCTCTCTCCGCCTCCCCCTCCCTCCCCCCCACTCCCCTCCACCACCCTCTTTCCCACTTCCTCATCTCCCGTCGCTCCTGCTCCTCCTGCCACGTCAGCCGCGCTACAGCCGCCATCACGTCCCCCAGCAGCACCACGTCAGGGTCTATCACCGCCGCTACATCCGCCCACTGTTCCCGCATCGCCAGAGCAAACAACGAATTCATTTTAGTCACACCGTCATAAGTCACATCCACGCCTCCTCCCTGCATTCCCCCTCCCACCATCTCCCCTTTTCCGCCTATAGCGTGCACGTGCCTTGGGAATTGACGGGCCAGCCAAACCAGCGACAGGTGCGGCCGGGAGTAGTTAAGAGGGTGAGAGCCTATTAAGTACACGTGAGGCGTGTAGGGAGGCGGCGCGAGGCGCAGCCACGAGAGCACGGCGCGCTTTAAAGCCGTCATTGTCGTGTTGTACCCGATAGGAGCCGTGTACAGCGCGAGGGACGGGAAACGACGACCCTGGCTTGGTCCGGGAGAGCCAGCTCCCGAGCCTGTTGGCGAGGCTCGGGCCGGGCCTGAACGTCCTGGTGCTGCATTGTAGCTGCTGCTGCTGCCAGCAAGCTTTCTTCGACCGCCGTTTTCCAGCGGCTGAACTCGAGTCAACACTGAGCCATTCTTGAGAATTCTTAGCATGGACTCGTGAGGTTGACTCTCAAGCTCAGCTGCGTTTCGAGTTGACGCAACGGTCACCTGCTTCTGCGGCTGTGGTTGCTCAGGCAAGACTTTGTCACCTGTTATATTCAACTGCTTCACTGCTTCCTGCGATTCGTGCGGCTCCTGCGACTCGAGTCGCGCGTCGACGTTGATTTGGTCTACCATGAGGCGCTCCGGAAGCGTCGCGAGCTTTGACTGGCTGCTGACGACGACGCGCCAGTGGGAGAGGTCCGCGCATTGCGGAACGCGTGCCACGTGGCAGGCGAGGGTGAGGGCGAGCAGGGAGACGAGCACGTCGCGTGCGGACAACGACGCGCGGATTAACTCGATAAACGCGAACAGCTTCATCCTCGTTATGAATTGATATGGTGCCAACCGTCTAATCTAACAGGTGCATTCGCGACAGGAGAGCGTTGGAACCGCCATGGACACTGACTGAGAACGGGGTGAGGATTGATTGAAGCTACTTCTGTAACGGATCTACTAAGAAAAAGGGCATTTACCCATATATTAATAACTTCTAGTACAACCAGAGAGTAACAGCTCCTGGAAATGACTAAGTCTGAGAGTTGCTGGGAAAATACAGTAACAAATCTTGGAGGGTGAGTTGAGAAGAAGACAATCCTATTTCCCAATTGATTAGTTGGGAGTAGGAAATGAAGAATGAGCCCAGAGGCTTCAGACCCCTTCTCTAGACCCCCTTGGGGTGCAGCCACCTTCCCCATGGCAAGGAGGGGTGCACTCCCTTGGGCCTTGCCCATGTGGCAACAAACAAGGTTCTCAACCAATTACATTTTAGATAGCAAGGATAGGAAATGCACAGCAATCACAAACCTGTGTTTGATGTTTATTGGTTGTGTTTGAAGTGAGCAGCGGAAATGTTGTCGACTCACTCTTGGGGCTGTGTTCTGATTGGTTGAATTAGTGATGAGGTGAACTTACGTGGGTTGTGTTTTAACAGCTCAAACCAATTGCGTAAGTTTGACTCAGCAGCAATTTCTATTGGTTCATTTCCCAATCAATCCTGAATTGCCCGTAAGTCTCGCTTTCTCAATCCAATCAGATTTCCCCACTTTTCTCCCTCGGCTGGTTCGACGTATCGAGACCAGCTGGGGTTGGGTACGGATGTTACAACTTCCAAGTTTGAGACGCCATAACTGTTGAATTATATTGCATATCCTAACTGCCTACAGCTTGCTAGTGTATTAGTTAGTTATTAGGTTCAACTGCTGGTGGTGTACCCTATCCTCTCCCCTATCCTATATCTTGTAAACATTCCTTAGTGAATCCCCTCTTTGCCCAATTCTCTTGCCATGCTCACTCTCGACACTCACGCTTCCTAGGTAAACCCTAAGTTACTAAGTCAAGAGTTAAGAGCGTGTTCTGACATGGTATCAGAGCGTGGTCCCTCCTAGGACCTCGTTTTCATGGGCCCACCAAACCCGCGATCTGCCATGGCGACTTATTGTGCTGCTGGCATGGCTGCTACTGCTAGTAGCGCGAAATCCGCTGCTGGCTCGAACTCCGCTGCTTTTGCAGCACCCGTCGCGCTGCCCCCTTTCGCCTGCCCCGTCGCGCTCTGCCAGTGGCGAGCGTGCCAGCGAGGCGACGGCGGGCGCCAGCGCAAGCGCCAACGGCGGGCGCCAGCGCCAGCGCCAACGGCGGGCGCCACCGCCAGCGCCAACGGCGGTCGCAAGCGCCAGCGCGGACGCCAGCGCCGACGGCGGGCGCTAGCGCAAGCGCCAACGGCGGGCGCCAGCGCCAGCGCGACGCCAACGCCCAGCGCCAGCACTTCCGCCAGCGCCAGCGCATGGGGGGGAGGGGGATGAGGGGGTGGCGGGAAAGCTTCTGCCGCGCCAGCCACCTCCTCTCCTCTCCTCTCCTCTCCTCTCCTCTCCTCCTCCTCTTCTCCTCTCCTCTCCTCTCCTCTCCTCTTCTCCTCCAGCCGCATCTCCTCCTCTCTCCTCTCCTCTCCTTCTGCCGCATCTCCTCCTCCAGTCTCCTCTCCTATAGCCGCATCTCCTCCTCCTCTCTCCTCTCCAGCCGCATCTCCTCTGCTCTCCTCCTGTGCACCACCACCAGCTTCCTCCTCCTCACCAACAGTTGTGTTTGCTCGTAGATGGCGAGCGACCAGCATCCTTCGCCCTCCGGCTATCCCAGCCCTCCTCCGCGCTCTCCGCGCCCTCCTCCGTTCTGGCGTTCACAGGTGCTGCCGCTCAGCCACCGCTGTTTCTGTGCCTATCCCAGCTACAGCAACCGCTCTCCAGGCGACCTGGTGCCAGACACCACTAGCTATAGCCGTAGGCAGTTACGGGGGTGTGTTGAATTATATTGCATATCCTAACTGCCTACAGCTTGCTAGTGTATTAGTTAGTTATTAGGTTCAACTGCTGGTGGTGTACCCTATCCTCTCCCCTATCCTATATCTTGTAAACATTCCTTAGTGAATCCCCTCTTTGCCCAATTCTCTTGCCATGCTCACTCTCGACACTCACGCTTCCTAGGTAGACCCTAAGTTACTAAGTCAAGAGTTAAGAGCGTGTTCTGACAATAACACTCTCTCTGCATTTAAGGGGCCTCAAAATCAGCCTGGAACACTCAAGAGACGGCACGGCACATGTGACAGAGAACGCGCGTGATGTGAATGAAGCTACATTTCAAGCAGAGGCAGCTGAATCCTGTCGCCGCCGCCGCCGCCGCCGCCGCCGCTGCGTGTCAGGTGGTGCATCGACCTACGACTGGCTTTCAATCTATAATGTGGCTAGTACTCCGTTATGGTTGCCTTCGAAAAAGTACACTGTATGGCAAGCCTGTTCTTTTGTGATAAGTAGATGCTTGAGTCCACTAAAAAACACACCGTTCACACTCACATACAGAGAGTGTGTACTTATGATAAAATGAATAAATTAATGAAATGAAATGAAACAAATAACGAGTGTACCTTCAAAAAGAGATCCTTACGGATTCTCCCCCTTTACAGTCCCCTTTCTTTCTACATAGTATACAACATGGGCTATGCTCTCGCCAAAGCACACCCCACAGCTGAGTCTGCTCCTTCCGAGACTCCCTTCAGCCAGAAAGTGCCTTAAACAAAGCACCATCGTTGCACTAAAAACTCGAGGGTTCTCCCAGTTCCTCCTCAGGTAAGTTGCAATCGGGTCCCGTGCAACGAGAGACGAATCCGCCTTTTATTCTCCACTTGGCGGTGCGGTGAAGCCCTTCATCACCGTCATCCCGGCAGGCAAACCTTACAGACAACTCCGAATCGGTATCGAGCCAGTATCTCTGTTGTACGTCCGGTGTAACCTTCACGCCACGATTCACGTGCGAGGAGCAAGCTTCCATTTCTGAATCCACGGATGCTCTGAGAGAAAGAGACGAATCAGGGACACGCGGGAAAGGCAAGGCAGGAGAAAAGACACGATGTTAGTCGAGGCAGGGAGGCTTAGGGGGACAGCTAGTGACTGGCATGCTTGAGTGCCGTGTGACACTGTAACAGGTTACACAACTCACCGAGAATCTCAAGAGCCCCGATCCGCTTGCTTGCATCTTTCACCAGCATGCAAGCAACTAGGTCCTTTGCCTCCGACACGCCCTCCCACTCATGAGCTTACTCAAAGACAGCTGACTCATAGGTCACATCCACAACTCACCGAGAATCTCGAGGGCTCCAATCCTCTTGCTTGCATCCTTCACCAGCATGCGGGCAACTAGGTCCTTAGCCCCCTCCGAAACCCCCTCCCACTTAGCCCCTCTGAACACGCGGTGACTCACTATTTGACTCATACGTCACCACTTCGACTCAAACAACCGCTCATGACCCTTTGGAAACAGCACGTAATGTACAACAGACTCAGAAGACGACCCACAACTCACCGAGAATCTCAAGGGCTCCAATTCGCTTGCTCGCATCTTTCACGAGCATGCGAGCAACCAGGTCCTTGGCCTCCTCCGACACGCCCTCCCACTTGGCCCCTCTGAACGCCACCTCTTTCTTGAGTATCCTCTCCACCACCGACTTGCTTTTAGACCCCCAAAACGGGGGCGCGCCGCTAAGTACCACGTAAAGCACCACCCCGGCGCTCCATATATCCGCCTCGGGACCGTAGCTCTGCCTGAGGACCTCCGGAGCCATGTATTCGGGAGTCCCGACTGCATCGGTTAGCGGCACGCCGCGTTGGAAGGACGTTGCGACGCCAAAGTCGATGAGCTTTATATCGGAGTCGGAGGAGAGGCTTGTAAGGAGGATGTTTTCGGGCTTGATGTCGCGGTGGGCGATGCCGCGGCAGTGGCAGTGCAGCAGGGCCTCGATCAGGGCGGCGCACAGGCGGGCGGCGGCGGGCTCGGAGAGGCGGCGGAGCGATTTGATTCTGTCGAAGAGATCGCCGCCCGCTAGGAGCTCCGTGACGATGTGCACATGCTGTGGGGCGGAGGAGGGGAAGGGAAAGGGAGAGAAAGGGAGGGGAGGAGAGAGGAGAGGAAACGGAGTGTTAGTGGAGTGGTGGCATGGCGATACTGCTACATGTGAAGAGCTTCATGACGACGTGTGCGTGCTGTGGAATAGCGGGAATCACGAGTCGTGGGTCACGACTGACCTGAGCGTCCTCGAATGCATCTTTTATGGTGACCACAGTGGGGTGCCCAGCCAGCAGCTCCAGGCAAGCCACCTCCTTCCTCACGTCCTCCGCATCCGCATGCGTCTTGATGCTCGCCTTGTCTATTGTCTTGCATGCTAGCTCCTCCCCTGTGCGCTTGCTCAGGCACCTCCTCGTCACTCCAAACTGCCCCGTGCCAAGAGGGGCTCCCTGGTAGTCTATGCTGTAGGAGACGTGCACGTCTGAGTATGTGCGGCGTAGGACAAACTCTGCCGGCCGCAGGCTCCTGAATTCCTGGAACGAGTCGCCCATGCCGTCCACTGCCACGCTGCCTCGCCGCACCCGCGCCTCCCCCTGCTGCTTCTGCTGCCTTTCCTGCCCCTTCCTCTGCTGCTGCTGCTGCTGCTGCCGCTGTGATTGCTGCCACTTCTCTTCCTCCGGCTGCTGCTGCTGCTGCCTGTCTTGGAGTAGCTTCGGCTCCGCCTTAAGCTCCTCCTGCTGCTCTTCTCGCTGCTCCTGCAGCAGCAGCTGGTTTGGGTTCAGCTGCTTCAGCTGGTCATGATAACACCCACTACCACCACCAACACCACCATCACCACCACCATCACCACCACCACCACCGTCAACACTGGCTGAATCAGCAGCGCCACGTGGCTTCGGCCCGTCAGAGGGAGCGCAGAGGGGGAGGAGGGAGAGCGAGCGGGCGTCCATGCTGTGAGAGAGAGGGGTGCGCATGCGCAGGCGCGGGAGCGATGGGAACCCTGCTGCCTTCACACCGCTGCTGCCGTTTGTCGTGGTGATGGTGCTGGCGGTGACGGTGGTGGTGTTACCACCGCTGCTGCTGTTGCTGCTTGTGGTATGACCGTTACGGTTACCGCACCCTTCCTTGCTGCTGCTGCTCAGCCTACTCAATGCTGGGCCTGATCCCGGGCCTTGAGCCAAACCTGACGGTTCGGGCCGTTCTTTCCAGCTCCGCGTGGGTGATCCCCCAGAGGCTGAGGCCGAACCAGCTCCCGAAGCTGAGGTGGAGACCCGGCGAGCGAGGGACGGAGCTGGAGATCCCAAGGGAGAGGAGAGGGGAGCAGGGAGGGTGGAGCAGGAGGAGGAGGAGAGGGGTGAAGGGAGGGGAGGGCGAGGAGGGGTGGTGGTGGGAGAGAAGAGCGAGTGAGGATGGGGAGGAGTGAGTGGGGAGGAGAGAGGGGAGTTTGTGCGCGGATCACGGGTGATGGACCGTAGTGGGGAGCGCGGAGTGGGGGAAGCGCGGGAAGTGTGGGGGGAGTGAGGTGTGCGGGGAGAGCGCGGCGAGTAGGGGGAGCGCGGCGAGTAGGGGGAGGAGGGCGCGTGGGGGGAGCAAGGCGGGTGAGACGAGCGAGGGGCGATGTGTGGGGACAGGTCTAGGTCTTTCCGCGTGAGTGGGGAAGGTTGACTTTGAGACTGGGAAGCCACGGCGGGAGAAACTGTGAGCACGGGAGCAGCGGTCGCGGACGCGGGAGCAGCGGGCACGGCAGCAACGCTCTCGTGGCAGGTTTCCTGATCGCGTGGCGCCGCCTTGGCACGCCGCTCTCGCTGCTGCCCTGTCGCCGTCCTGCTACCACCCACACCCTGCGTGCCCCCCACACCCTTCATGCCGGCTGCGCCCCTCGCGCCAGCTGCGCCCCTCCCCTTTGCCAGCTCCGACAGCCCCACGGCTCGGCGCACCTCCGCGCCTCCTCCCGCCTTGCTGCCTCTTCCTCCGCTCCTCGCCTTCCCCCCTGCTTCTGCTCCTCCTCCGCCTCCTCCTCCCCCTCCACCTCCTGCGCCAACTGCCCCTCCTTCTCCCGCTGCTGCTGACGCTGGTGCTGCAGAGGCGGTTACGACGGCGGCGGCGGCGGCGGCGGCGGCGCCGGGTGCTGTTACCTTTGCGCTTCGCCTTTCCTTCTCGCTGCTCCACGAGGGTGTGGGCGGCGCGAGGGACGGTCTAGGAGAGAAGGAAAGGTTGGGAGCGGTAGGAGCGAAAGAAGGTTGAAGCGAGGAAGGAGAGGGGAAAGGGTTGGGAGAGGGTGGAGTGTTGGGATGGTCAGAAGGGTTAGGTGCGGTGCTGGTGGGATGGCAAGTGGTGCCCGGGAGAGGCGGAGACGGGGGGAATTGCGCGGATGCGGGGGATTGAGCGGATGAGGGAAATTGCGCGGATGGTCGGAGGAACGACGGCGTGGCCGGGGGAAGGGTGGGGGAAGTCGGGCGGAGGAGGGGGGAGGTGGGGCGGAGGGGAAAAGGAGGGGCGCGGAGGAGCGGGGGAGGGGAGAGGAGAGGGGAGGGGGAGGGAGGGTGTGGTGCGTATGAGGTGGGGGAAAGGTGGGGCAACGCAGGGCGCATTGCGGGCGATACAGAGCGCATTGCGGCGGGCGAGACAGGGCGCATTGCGTACGGCGCAGGGTGGGTTGCTGGGGACCGCTGGGGGGTACTAGGGCGCATATTGGGGGAGACTGGGCGCGGGTGGGGGGAGACTGGGCGCATTTTGGGGGAGACTGGGCGCGGGTGGGGGGAGACGGGGCGCAGGTGGGGGGAGACTGGGCGCATTTGCGGGGAGGCTTGGCGCAAGGGGGAGACTGGGCGCAGGGGGGAGACTGGGCGCGCTTTGGAAGCTGAGGAGAGGGGGAGCAGTGGGGAAGGGGAAAGCGGATGCTGACTGCGGGAAAATGGCGGAGGGGAGAAGGACGGGGAGGCGGGGGGGTGAGCGGACGGCGGAGGCTGAGCGCGTGTTGCGGTTGATGGCGGGGAGGCGCGCGGAGAGGACAATGGCGGAGGCGAGGCGGGAGGAGCGGAGACGGCCGGAGGAGAGGCGGGCGGTTGTGCGCGCGACAGCAGGCTGGGTCGCCTCACGAACGCGGGCCCCTGCGCCGCGCGCGCCCCTCCTCCGCGTATCGGACTGCTGTTGCAACTGTGACCGCCGATACTGCCGCTGCTGCCGCTGATGATGCCGCTTCCGCTGGTGCTGCTGCTGCCGCTGCTGCTGCTGGCGCTGCGGAAAAAGGTGGCGCTACTGCTGCTGCTGCTACCGTTGCAGCTGGTATTGCTTCGAAACAGGGAGATGTTGCTGCTTGCGCCGCCACCGCTGCTTGCGCCACCGCTGCTTACGGAACCGCTGCTTCCGTCTCCTCGTCGAGGCGACTTTAGAGTCGACTCAAAGGTTGCGGGTGAACGCGGCGCAGGTGAGAGCGGCGCAGGTGAGAACGGCGCAGGTGAGAGCGGCGCAGGTGGGTGCGGCGCAGCGGTATTCAGGGGGCTGGCGGAGCGGCCGAGCGGTCGCCGCGCAAGGGGGCTCTTGGCGGAGGCGGAACGTGTATGCGCAGGGCTGACATGTGGGGAGACGGGGGACTGCACGGAAAGAGGACTGCGCGGGCGGAGGGGCGAGGAGGGCGCGAGTGCGGGTAACGGGCTGCGGAGAGGCATAGGGCTGCGCGGAAGAAACGGAGAGGTGGTTCCGCCAGAAAGCGCGGATGCGCTTTTCCCGAATAGCGGCGAGGAGTTACCGCGGCCAGCAACCGGAGAGGAGCTTCCCCCCGACAAGGCGGAAGCGCTTCCCCCCGAGAAGGGGGAAAAGCTTCCCCTCGAAAGGGGAGAGCGGCTTCTCCCCGCAAAGGGGGAAGCGCTTCTTCCGGGTAACGGGTTGGGGGGGATTTTGTCGGCAAGCGGCGAGGCGCTGCGCGCGGACAGTGGGCTGAACGCGGCCGATAGCGGACTCGACACGGGGCAAGGGCTGGACGCTGCTGACGTGGCAGCGGAAGAGCAGCACGGGCTGAGCTGGCGCTCGAGCGTCGAGCACGGGGAGATGGCGGCGGGAGGCCCCGTGAAGAGGAGGAGGCGGGGGGGGAGGAACGCGCCGGGCTTCCGCCATGCTGCTCCGCCGCCGCCGCTGCCGCCGTCCCCGCGCCATGCTGTCGCCCCGCCGGCCTCCGCCGCGCGGCGCCAAAAGCCGTCGTCCGCGGAGATACCGCCGCCACAAGCTGGAGACGTGACGGACTTCTCCCACTCGTGGTTCGGTGACGAGCCTGTTCCCGAGCCTGTCCTCAAGCCTGTCCCCAAGCCTCCTGTTACCGTTCCGTGGCGCTGCTGGGGACAGCTGAGCGGACTCGAACTGCGCATGCTTGTTCCACGCGACTCCGCCGTCTTTCCCCTTCCGAGTTGAGGGGAAGCGCAATCTGCGCCAACCTGCGCAACTGCCTCCCCTCGCATTCCTCCAGCGCGGGGCGTTTCACGAAGGTCGGCAAAAGCATCTGCGCTCCTACACCAGTCGTTATCGAAATCGAACGAATGCGATGGGTAGCGACGTCCGTCCTGCGACTGCGACGGGTTGCGACTGTCGAACGACTGCCGCGATGCGCTGCGTCGCGGAGTCGCAGCAGGACATCCGGGAGATCTATCGGCCGATGCGCCCGCCGCACTACTGATACGTTTAACCGTATCGCCATCTCCGCGACCGCGCATTACCCCCGACTTGAAACTTCCAGATTCGCCTCCACTATACGTCACGGGCTCTAATGGGTGCGCTTGACGCGTCTCGTGAGTGATGATGGGATCGGAAAGGCGCGGGTTGAAGGGGTGCAGTTCGAAAAGGCGCGGATCCAAACGGCGCTCCGCCATGGCTCCCCCAGACTCGAACCGTCGAGCTGCGTAAGTCGCTTCCATGACAGCGCGTTACTACGAAACTGAAGATATGTAAGGGTAGGGACAATGCTCGCCGCTACCGGACATGGTCGCCGCTAATTCTTGACCGAAAACGAGTTAACGACGCTTGAGATCCAAACGTTGCATCGAACACCCAGCACCATACTATCATATCGTTACAGTAATCGTCCGCGGTACGAGCGATCCAATGGTGGAAAAAAAAAAGCTACTAAACGTGATGGCACTGTTCCTCTCCCAACACCTGTGCATCTTTCCCTCCATCACGGAATCCTTCAAGGCTTTCAGCACAGATGATCGCTAAAACGTTGCTAAGATTCAAACCTTGAAAGCCGGGAACACGCGAGTGTCACTTCTCGGCGAATACAGTCCACAGGACAAGACAGCCATCCGCACCGCCACAGACAGCCTCTCAGGCAGGCAACGGACGGATGTAGACAGAGAGGCGTCGAAAGAAACCCTGCTGTCAATCACGAGTCATTCTCCTCTGGGCGTATGGCGCTTCGCGCAATGGGGTGCTTCTGCTGCTCGGTTAGCGGGAAAGGATTTGCACTTCACATTCTAGCAGTTTGAGAAGAATCAGGACGGGGATGGACAGGTCAGCTCAGCTGCTGCTCCTCTGGGCTGGGGGCGTATGGTGCTTCGCGATTTGGAATCTGGAGTTCCCTGAGGCTCTTCGTCGGCAAGGATTGGTTGGTGGACAGGTGGCTGACTGGGCTGGCCGCTGCCCAGCCCAGCTGTAGGTGCGGCGAAACTTCGAAACTTGGGCATGGCTGGGAAAGAGAGGAGATTGGCTGAGAAATAAATTTGGAGCTGTAATTCGAGCTGTGAAATGAGTGAGGGAAGGGATGGAAAAGGAGGTTCAGCAAGGAGACAAGAGTGGATCCGATTTGTGGAATTTAATATGTTTCGGCAACAGGTGCTGTCTCGTGAAGGGGGGACGAGGAGGGTGGAACAAGTCATGGAGGATGGTGAGGGTGAGCTGGAGGCAGCATGGAAGTGGATGGCAACTCCACTGTACTGTTATGGAAGTTGGTTTTGGTTTTGTACAAGGGGAGGAAGGCGGTAGACTACGGTACACTGAGATGAGCGAGGGCAAGAGAACGATGCAGCGGTGTTTCTAGGGGTTATCAGTCACAAACAACAGCCATTTTTCAAGAATGGTGGTGTATTCGGCCAATGTGAAGTGCGGGCGGGATACGCCTATGGGCAGAAGCAAATTCCATCGACGCAGCTGAAAATGGGGTGTGTGAAGATCGTCTGCCTTGGGTTTTCATGATTGGGTCTATACACTCATTATCTCATTCTGTTTGCACTGGTTCTATAATTCTGAAGCTCTGTATTGTGGCATCACGCTACTGACCGCACCAACGAGCGCCCTGTTGTCACAGTTTATTAATATGCGGCTCAATTAGGTGATTCGCAATTAGTCTGCTTTTGGAATGCGACCATATTGAGACAAAAGTGTAACTATTAGTCTTGCCCCAAAAATTGCTCAATGACCTTGCTGAGTATTCTGTTTTAGATCTTCGTTGTTAATCAACTGCAATCGGTGCTTTTCAAACCGAGTGTTGTCGCGGGGGTGTTGAGCTGGAGTCACTCCCATAGTGTTTACGCGACTTTACTGTACAGTAGTTTTAGCAAACAGACGGTCGTTTCAAGGGCAGGACAACAAACGCGGCAGCCACAAGTGTGTGTTTTGTCAGAAACTGACGATTGCCAGCTGGTAACAACAGAAGGAAACGCCAAACGGAGGATTTTGAGATATTCGTCTCATTCAGAACACTACAATGACGATTATTCCATGATTCATCAAATTATTTATGAAGAATTCAATCAAAACCATCCACCCTTTCATAAGCCTCTTTCAATCAGCGCTTCATCAATATCACTCAAAATTTTCTCAAAACCAGTGCCACGAACAGCCGAGATAAAAACCGGCCTCGAAGCTTTGACTCGGGCAAAAGCCCCTTTTACTATAGAACCTCCATTTTCCCAACCATTGCTATACACTCCCAAACTTCTAAAACTCCCAGTCCATATAACAGCGTCTTGTTGCCCATGCACTCCCACCTGACCCAACCTATATTCCTCCTCCTCGGCACGCACTCTCTCAACACACCCATCCTCCCTTTCCTCATCACCCTTCTCTTCCTCGTCACTTCCCTCTTCCTCTTCCTCATCGTCCACCTCCTCCTCCTCCACCTCCTCCTCCACCTCCTCCTCCTCCACCTCCTCCTCACCATGCTCATCCTGCTCCTCCAGCTGGGGATCAGGGATACCCCAAGCTTCACTCCGTACATTGCCCGACCCACTCCCACCACCAAGCCTGAGTGTCTCAGAAACGTGCACCCGCCCGCTTCCCTCTCCTATCTGCACTCCTGCACTATCCGCCTCGAGTTCTTGTTGCAGCGCAGGATTTCTCATTAACGAAGCCTCTTGTGCTTGTAACGGATCCTGGGATTTGGACAGTGCTACAGCCGGGTCTAGTGTGCTCTTATGCAGATGTGACTCTAGAATGGACGAGCCGGAGAGCAGGGGGTGCGAGGGAGGGAGGAGGTCCACCTGTGAGGAAACGGAGACGATTCATGCACAAAGAGGGTTGGACAAAAGGACAGAGAGGTTGGGCATGGGAGAGAAACACACACATTTATGCACTGCAATGACACGAGAACACCCTGAAAGTGGTAAGAACAAACAAACAGACAACCAAACAAACAGACTTGCCTTGTTCCAAGCTTCGATGATGTGTGGATGAGTAAAGAACCTCCCCTCTTTCCAGCTGCCGTAACTATGCATTCTTGAACCGTCCACACCATAACCACCATGATGCACACCCATGCTGCTTCCCCTAGCAGCCATGCTGACGTCAGCGGCCATGCCTGGATCCACAGGCACCCCCATCTGCGTCAGCACTTGCAACACCGCCTGCCGCTGCTGATGCATGTCTGGTGCTGACGCGTCCACCACATGCTGACGTGGACAGGCAGCCAAGAGGGGGGAGGGCGGAGGGGTGGGGATGGGTTGGGGAGAGGAGCTTAGGGGAGAGGTGGACAGCAGTTTTGGAGGAGCCTTCACAAAATTATGACAGCGCTCAATATGTTGTGTGCGCCCAGTAATTACCTACACGACAAGGAATAACAGGGAAGAAAAAAAAACGCCTTTATCATGTGCCCAGCACTGAACACGGAGCCACGTGGCAAAAAGTGAGTTGTTTGAGACGTCTGAAAAACGCCTCCACCATGTGCCCAGCACTGAACACGGAGGTTAAAGAATTGTGCATGGAATCATCAATGAACACCTGGAGCAGATTGTGTGGCCCAAGCCTACCAGCCGCAGGTCGGCTTGGACCACCTAGCGTGAAGGCTTGGACCACCTAGCGTGAAGGCTTGGACCACCTAGCGTGAAGGCTTGGACCACCTAGCGTGAAGGCTTGGACCACCTAGCGTGAAGGCTTGGACCACCTAGCGTGAAGGCTTGGACCACGCCTCCACCAGTTGGTAGGTCGGATATGACTTTTGAGGCGCCTCAAAAGGGATATGAACCCCACCAGTGCAGCACAACAGAAGGACAACAACGGGTGCAGCACGCACTGTGCAAGCGGGCCATCAGTGAGGGACCCTACCAGCAGCAGGTCAGCTTCATGTTCAACCACCTCCTCCAGTGTCGCAAGAAACGCCTCCACCGTGTATCCATCATCATGGCATGGTGTATGTTCCATTTCATGCCAGCATCATACCATATGATACTTCTGCATGAGATGAGCCCTACCAGCAGCAGGTCAGCTTCAGCTTCAACCACCTCCTCCAGCGTGGAATGAAACGCCTCCACCGTGTCTCTTGCATTATACCACACGCAACATGCTTCTTACTGCCATCTGTGCTTTGAAACGACCCTACCAGCAGCAGGTCGGCCTCGACCACCTCCTCCAGCGTCGCATGAAACGCCTCCACCAGCTGATGGGGCAGGTCGGAGATAAACCCCACTGTGTCACTCAGAAGCACCCTGCGCCTGGAGGAAGGGAAGAAGTATCAAAAGAAAAGAAAAGAAAAGAAAAGAAAAGAAAAGAAAAGAAAATCGGGTGAAACACGAACATGGCCTGTGAGTGTGCATTGGTTATCAGGATACGAGTGCAGCTGTATCACTCTCACCCTACCTGGCAGGCGGAGATGACAAATGGACCATGCAGGAGATGCAACAGATAGACACACAAAGACATTCAGCATGTAAACTGGATCCACTATCCTACTGATCCCCCATGGCATCTCCCTCCCCTCTCGATCCATCTCACCCTGATGGCAGCTTGACTGCTCTCACACGGGGATCCAGGGTTGCAAATAGCCTGCAAGGGCGACAGAACACCAACCCATGCACAGTAAGGAGCAGAGAGAGAGCGCCATGAAGGCGCGAATGTGCACCGCAGGAGCCGCAAAACGGCAGCTTGAACGCTCTCACACGGGGATCCAGGGTTGCAAATAGCCTGCACGGACAGCTGAAAACCAAACAGTAACATCATCGGGCAGACGGAAGAGCAATGAATGAATGAGAAAGGCTGCACCAGACGAGACGTCAGGCAGCTTTACTGGATTCTATCTAATGCCCTTCCTGGTGCAACCAATCACCCAAAACTACACAGAAGCCCCTTGGTGTGAGGTTGATTGTCAAGAGACAATCAATCAATCTCACACAGAAGCTCTCGACAATCAATCTCACACCTCTCACAAAGGTGGGTTTTGAGGCGCCTCAAAACCCATCGCAATGCTTTACTGGAGTTTTAACGCTCTCAGAGGTTTGCAACCGAGCTCCCTTGCTGACTCAGAAGCCCTCGACAACCAATCTCCCACCTCTCACCAACCCTATCCCCCGCCTATCATTAGTCTTATCACTCACCGATCATCAATGTATTGGGGCGACTGTGAAAGTGCTGTCACCAACGTTGACTTGCCCTGATGCACATGACATAAATGTGCAAGGAAAATAAATGCTTTTGAGTGGACTCAAAAGCAGGACCTGATGCACATGGCATAAATGTGCAAGTAAAAGCGATTAACATAATATACGTGTACCTACAAAAACTATGCTCATTGAATGTATATGGTATAGATGCATCATCCAGGCCGATGTAGGATGTAAGCGATGAGAATTCTCAAACCCAGGCGCCTCAAAACCCTACATCACAATGCTATAGATGCATCATCCAGGCCACCCTCCCACAGTGCACAGCACGTCCCCTGCAGTGACTACTGTGCATTGAACGCATATTCTGTAGGCTCCCCAAAAAGAAAGAAAGAAAGAAAGAAAAAGGACACAGTTGCATTCACATCTGTTGCTTACAATACAACTGTGGAAGGAACTCACTGCGTTGGTACATCCCATCCCACCACAGCCACCACCAGCAGCCGTCGCCCTCGCCCTCGCCCCTTGTGCCCATAACAAGAAATAACCACACACGTACTAACCATGAGAGATACTACTCACTCACCGTCCCCCTCAATAAGTACACTCACTGCGTTCGTATAGCCCACCACCGCCACCACCGGCAGCCCTCGCCCCTTCCCTCCGCCCTCCCAGCAGGCTCGTCTGCGGGCCAATCGGTGCAGGCCACGTGTCCTCCTCACTTGCGCTATCTGCTGCCTCAGCTTGTGCTGCTTCTCCGCTATTCTGTCATGGGAAGGGGCAGGGGGAGATGGAGGGAGGGAGGGAGGGAGGGAGGGAGGGAGGGAGGGAGGGAGGGAGGGAGGGAGGGAGGGAGGGAGGGAGGGAGGGAGGGAAGGGGGGGGGAGGAGGGAGGGAGGGAAGGTTGAGGGATGGGGAAGCGATGAGTGCGCCTAAAGGGTGAAAAATACCACACCCCCCCTTCCCCTTTTCTTTTTTCTCCCTCTTACCGTCGCCTCTGCAGCTGCAGCTCGCTCTCCCCTGCTCCAGCCAAAAAGCCCCGCCCGCCTGCCGCCCTCCCTCGCGCACTCACCACCTGCTGCTCCCCTCCCGAACCAAACCCAAGCCTGCAGCCCCCCGAGCCTCGCTGCCGAACCAGCCGGCTGCGCTGGTACTCCAAACCTGCCATCTCGACCTGAGGTTTAGAATGGAAGTAGAACAACGGAGCGTACCGGGGAAAAGGGATGGGAAGGTAAACTTGTATTTTTTTAACTATTTGATTATTTCTTCTTTCTTCTATTTAATAGGGTCACTGAGCAACCGACCAACCCAACCAAACCAAACCCAACCCAGCCCAACCCACCTGCAGCTTGGCCTCTCGTGTGTTTGCACGAGCTCCAAAGATCTCAATGATCAGCCCCACCCGGTCCACCACCGGCAGGCCCCACGCAGCCTTTGGAGAGGGCAGGTGGGAAGGAGAAGGAGCGAAAGAGGAGGAAGGAAGAGGGAAAAAAGGGGGAGTAAGGGAGTGGAAGGGCCAGCTGTTTGCACGAGCTCCAAGGATCTCAATGATCAACCCCACCCGGTCCATCACCGGCAGACCCCATGCGGCCTTAAGGGGAGCAGGTGGTGAAAGAGGGGGCAGGAAGAGGGGCGCAAGGGGGAGAATCGAGGTGAAGGGTCCGCTGTTTGCACGAGCTCCAAGGATCTCAATGATCAGCCCCACCTGGTCCATCACCGGCAGACCCCATGCGGCCTTAAGGGGAGCAGGTGGTGAAAGAGGGGGCAGAAAGAGGGGCGCAAGGGGGAGAATCGAGGTGAAGGGTCCGCTGTTTGCACGAGCTCCAAGGATCTCAATGATCAGCCCCACCCTGTCCACCACCGAAAGGCCCCACGCAGCCTTGAATAACGAGAGAGGGGAAGGTGAGAAGGGGGGATGGGGGTAAGAGGGGACGGAGAAAGGACAAATCGGTTGTGGCGATCACTAAGGCTGCCTCTGTCACTGCACCCTCTACTCTGCCTGCCTGCCCCTCTCCCGTATCGCCCCCCTCGCTCCACTGCACCCAGCAACACAAATCCCCCATCCCCTTCTCACCTCTGGTTGTGTTGCTGCACGCCTGAGAGAGCAACATTAACGAATACAGCCTCCCCTGCTCCCCTCGTTCGCCCCTGGTTAGCGAAACCCTTCGCCCCCAACTCTCCAACAAATTGGAGCAAGTTACCCTGTTCTGTCTTCACGAGTGTACACCGCTACTGAATTCTTCCTTTTTAGTGAAGCATCTGCACACCCTTCAACTCACCAACACTTCAACCATAGAAAGGCTCGACTTTGCAAACCTCACTGCTCTTACCACATCATCTCCCCCTGGAACCAACACCATCTGTCCAGCCTTCTTCACCTGCCAGGACTCACCCATCTGTACACCTTCGCGCCTCACGAAAACCATGCGTGAGGCGCGAAGGTGTACAGATGCATGAGTCCTGGGAGGTGAAGAAGGCTGGACAGATGGTGTTGGTTTCAGGGGAAGGTAATGTACAGAGTGGTAAGAGTAGTGAGGTTTGCAAATCCGGGCTTTTCTACGGTTGAAGTGTTGGTGAGCAGAAAGGTGTGCAAATGCCTCAACTGAAAAAGGGAATCTGGTAGCTCTGTATTCTGTTTTCTTCCCTCCCCCCAGCTCTCACCTCCAGATTCCGTTGCTGTACGCCTGAGAGAGCAGCATTTACGAATACTGCCTCCACTGGTACGCCCTGGTTAATAGGGTGGACGATGAGAAGATAAGCGCATGGCACATACGCATTCAAGGCGCTTCATAAGTAGTTGGACAGCACTGGGAAAAAAACAAACAAATAAAGAAAAACAATTCGCTCTTTCTCAGAAGCTCACGTGTGGATGAATGAATGTGAGGGTGTGAATTTCCATACACACTTGCGCAAGCGAGTGTGCATGTTCACATTCACTGCATTTGAGCTGATGTAAAGTGCAAACCATAACATACCATGGTGTGTGAAGCATGCACATGAGCGGCAATGCTCTCTATGGTGCCACTGCCAAAGAACGACCCTGAAAGACAGCATCAGCACGGGGGAAAGGGGGGAAGGGAGAAGAGAGGGAGGCGGGAAGAGTGAGAGCATGCACATGAGCAACAATGGTCTGGATGGTTCCACTGCCCCACTGTCGAAATCAATAAGGGATGGGACAGGGTGAAAGGCAAGAAGGGTGAGAAGGTGATAAGAGTGAGAGGCGAGAAGGGTGACAGACGGAATTCAACCACATCCACCATACCTGCGTGTATCCCCCGCCCTCTGCTGTGCACCACCACCCACGGATGCCCCCCTCCCGGCGGCAGAAACCCAAACCCAAACCCCAAGCTCTCCAAGCCATGCCCCCCAAACCACATCCAGCCTACCTGCGTGTATCCCCCGCCCTCTGCTGTGCACTACCACCCACGGATGCCCCCCTCCCGGCGGCGGGAATCCGAAACCCTCCACCCCATCACCACTCCGCCCTCTTCCCTCCACCCCATCACCACTCCGCCCTCTTCCCTCCACCCCATCCCCACGCATCCCTCTCCCCTCACTCCGCCTTCTCCACTCAGCCTCGGGATCTTCCCCTTGCCGCCACTGCTCCCCTCCCCCCTGCCACTCTCGCGCTCCTCCCCGCCCCTGCTGTGGTTCCTGGCCCCCTCGCCACGCTGCCTGTGCGTCCTCCCCTGCCCCTGCGCCCCCCCACGAGCGCTGCTCCATCTCCCATTGGCTGTCCGTGCCTGTGAGCGAGTCCACCAATCGCAGCGCCTCTCCCAGCTTGGCGCGCAGCAGCCAGCGCGGATGGGGGCGCGGCTGCACCACTAGCATGCTATGTGGGGGGGTGGGGGGGGAAGGGAGGAGCGGAAGGCAGGGGGAGAGGGAGAAAGGGAGGAGGTATATTCGTGCCAGCATGTGTGCATACAGCTTGGCGCGCAGCAGCCAGCGCGGATGGGGGCGCGGCTGCACCACCAGCATGCTGGAACCGAGAAAGGGGGGTAGGGGAGGTAGAATGCAGAGGTGGGGGAAGGACAGAGTGAAGAAAGGGGGAAAACGAATGGGAGAAAGGGGACAAAGTTCATGGTTGCACGAGAGAACAGAGTGAATATTCCAAAGTACCGAGGTGACTTTTGAGTCGACTCAAAAGTCACCTCGTTACCTTGACAAGGTTCATGGTTGCACGGGAAAACAGAGTGAGTATTACAAACATGATGAATCCCAGAAAAAGGCTGAATCCCAGAAAAAGGCTGAATCCTGAAAAAAAGGCGTCCCACCCCACCATAGTCTACCCTACCGCGTTCCATGTCGGCCTGAATCCGTGTTCACGCGCGCCTCTGCATCATCCTCTCTCCTGCCTTTGTCCCACGCTCCATCCTCCATATAAGCCTCTTCATCTGCATCTAAAGCCTCCCCACCCTCCCCTCTTGCCGTCCCTGCCGCAGCTCCTTCTCCCCCTGCTAACCCGCCCTTCCCCCAGCTCCGCCTTCTGCTTCCCCCGCCCTCCTTCCCCCTCCGCGCTACTGCATGCGCGGAAGGCGGAGTGGCGGGCGGCGGGGAGGGGGAGGGCCATTCTCCGCGGAGGGCAGTGAAGCGCGGAACGAACGCGAACTCCGTGGATGGGGGAACCGCTGGCGGCGGAAGGAAGGTGTGCGGAAACTTCGCCAGGTGGGACCCACCACCACCACGCCACGTGGCAACAGGAGAAGTTGATATTGGCTGACCTATGTGCCGCGAGCACCACGTGGCAGCAGGCGATTGGCGATAGTCACATGAATAGATGTCACTAGTTCTACTATTAACACCAATACCGTTACTACTAGTAGTACTGGTTTTGCCACGTAAGGCGAGATCTGAATCGGGTACCGTCCAGGAGCTCGGCGCGAGAATTTGGCGAGGTTGACAGATCTGATGCTGCTGCCACGTGGCACGAAAACTTGAAATCGCAGATACAGCGGACGAGGTAAGCTCACGCGAGCCGCCTCCGTACTGCGCGCGACGGGCAACGCGACGCGTAAGAGACGTGACCAATCGCTCGCATCCACGTGTCATGCTGACGAGTTATCCGTAATAATCTCAAAGCCTCTGTGTTTTCCCGCCATTCGAGACTGGCACAAGCCGAAGTTCAACTAACGCCTCGATCGTGCCGTGTTACCATCCCACGACCTAGCTAAAATCTGTCAGGCGCGCAGCAGGCCGCAGGCTGCGTGTGGAATGTGGTAGGGTGAAGCACGGGCCGCAATTTGGCTGCAGAGCGAAGCGTGCTGGTGACGCTAACGGTGTCTGCGGTGCTAAAGGGTGCAATCAGGTTTTGTGTTGTACGGATGATCAGCTGTGTCACACTTTCCTTTCCTTGATCAACTGAAATCAAATCTTCCCCTCCATCCACTTCCCTTTGCACACACACCTTCCACATGAGTGAACTATCAATAAATAGAATATGTGATTCTCTTCATTCATTTCTATGTTATCCACCTTGATTCAAATTGCAGGAACTGCATCATTATTACATGTCTGGACACCAAGCTGTGTCCTTATTCTGGCACAGCTGCATCTTCCCACCTGCACATTTCCAGCTGCGCTGTTTATTCTGAAGCCCATAAAATGACACCTGACCAGGAGGGCAACCTCCAACACAACGAGTCTCCAATCAAACACAGGCAGCTAATGCCACCAAACCACCTTTCCCCATCCGCCCTTACCGTACCACAATTCACTCATCCCCTGCAATTCTCCTCTTCCAATCCACCAGTCTGGTAGGGGGCATCCCCTCACTCTCCTGTACCGACCACATTCTGAGGCACCTCAGTAAGATCTCACTGGACAGGGACGAGCCTCAGGACAGGATGATGTTGTACAGGAACTCAGGCCACGTGTCTTGGAAGCGTGGCTGGCACCCCACGATGATCACTTCGGAAGCTCACTGGACAGGCACGAGCCTCTGGATGATGTTGTACAGGAACTCAGACCACGTGTCTTCCGGGCCTGGCAGGCAGTAGTGCAGGCAGTCCACCTTATCCTTAGCCACCACCCCTCTGTGCCCATCCGGTCTTAAAGCCATCATCGGATCCACATCCATGAACAACCCTCCCGCATCCTCCACTATCTCTCTCACCATCTCGTTCTGCTGCTTGAACTCTCCCCATCTGAACGGTAACGCTGTGCCATCCTGCCGCTCTGTGATTGGCCGGGTGTGGTTCAGGCAGTTGAGGTGACCGGGAGGTGTTGTACGGTAGATAAGGAGTTTGTCAGGGTGATTATGGCGAAGGAATCTGAAGATTCGCCTGACTGCCTTCACCACCTTCACTGCTGGCTTGTAGTGCGCACCCCGGTTCATTATAAGCACATGGGAATTTCTGATTCCAGGGACTTGCTGCCATGGCACGTGGAGCCATGCCGCTCGTTCTAGCTTCTCTTCCTGTACACGCATCAGCCGAGTTGTAGCCACGTAGTGTATCTCCAGTTTTGGGCACCCCTCAATGCGGTAACCAGCGCATGTAACTGTAACTGTGTCATCGATCCACTCCAGGCATTTCCGCTTCACTATGGTCCCCACCGCAGGCTTGGGGATGTGCTTAATGATGTTATTCATAAACGAATAGTGATGCTCGCGGGTCAGCGAATCCCCGATAAAAGCAATCCGCAGCCCATCCTTCCTCCGCGCGGCCAGCTCGCAAAGCGCACGCCCGTCGAACCTCGAGAAAATCTCCCCCTGCACGCCCTCCCTCCCCACCACCGCCTGCCTGCCCCCGACAACTCCAGCACACTTTTCCCGAGGCACCACCCACTGGTACTTCAGACTCTCTCGAACCTTCCACGCCGCAGCAGCAGCAGCGGGATCCCATCCCGAGTTTGCGATTTTGTCCGCGTGGACTCCTGCCACTCCGCCCTGCTTCATGTGTCGGGAGTCGCAGCTCTGCACCTGTTTCTCCTCCCACGGTAGAACCCTCGGCGTCGCGTTGTACCGCCACTCGCCGCGCTCCGCCACGCAGCTCATCCACTGCTTGAACGCTGCCGCTTCGCCTGTTCCGGGCTTGAGCCTCGAGCCTGGGATCCTGCTTCGGAAGTCGCCGAAGCTGGCAGGCTCGTCCAGTGGAAAGGAGACGGATGGTAACCCAGTGAACGCGTGGAGTGTAGGGTTGTTACGGATCATCGCGGTGACTGTACCGTACACCTCGTCCACGTGGCAGTGCTCCTGAGAATGCCAGTTCACCTTAGTCGGATCACAGGCAGAGAGAAAATGATGGATCCCGAGGCGGGACGCGAGGTGGAAGTGCCACGTGGCAGCCCGCTGTTGGCCGACAACAGGGATGGACGCGGCTGCCATGGCGACGGTGCGAGGGAGGACTTCGATGAGCGTGGAGTTGAAGGGCATGAAGATGAGATTCGACAGCGCGGGCGACGTCGGGCCGACGAACAGAATCGCGCGGGAAAAGAGCTCCTTGGCTTGCAGTAGCGGCACGTGCTCGTCGTATACCACCACGCGCGCCTCGCCGAAGAGCTCCCGCATCATTACAATCACACTGTTCATCGCGTCAGCCGCCTCCTTATTGTCACCTTCCGCGCCCTCCCCTCCGCCTGCTCCTCCTTCCGCTAGCTCCCCCTCCCCCAATCCGATATCCTCCCCCCCAGCCACCCCCTGCCCCTCCCTCCCCCCATGCACACTCCAAACCAGCGACACCACCACCACCCAATCCCGACGCAAAGCCTCCCCAACCACCATGTGCGCCCGAGCCTGCTGGTTCAGATGCTGGTTCGGCAGCCGAGGCACCCAGTTCGGGTTGAGGATCGGCAAGCCGTTTGGGGGGAGGAGGTGGTGCGCGCGGAGGGTGCGCCAGAGGGGGTCGGGGGAGCGGGGGCGGGGGGAGGCGGCGAATCCGCAGAGAGAGTCCGGGTGGAGCGGGAGGTAGAGCTTCTTCGCAAAGAACAGGTGCGGACGCGCAGCTGCTGACGTGGAATACGCTGACGTGGCGTCCAGGGGGATGGAGAGCGCGGCGAGATCCACTCCGAAGAGCCCGATGCGCACGTGGTGTAGCAACTGGGGGAAGGGAGCAGGCATTCCAGGGAAAGAGGGGGAGAGGAAGAAACAGGGAGGAGAGAAGAGTTAGCGGAGAGGCGACTGTGAGGCGGATTGTCAACTGAGCTGATAATGATGCAATCATGCTTCCATGAGCGATATGATCTGATTCTATTGGGCGCTAGTATTTTCGTGAATTTGGCATAGGCTCACCCGTCGATCGCGCAGCAGCAGCGGGTATCGGCGCGCAGTGGGCATGAGAGACGACGACACCAGGAACAGCACCGGCAGCAGCCGCGCCAGCTGCCGCTCCTTCGCGCTTCCGCCCACCGCGCGAGCTTTTTCCTCCCACGCGCTTTTTCCCCCGCCGTCGCTCCCCCCTTCCGCCTGCGCCGAGTCCCCCGTTTCCGCCGCCAGCTCAGCCCACCCGTCGGCCTCCTCGTAAGGTAGCAAGTTGATTAAATGCTCGTGAACACTAGTAACGGTTCCCGCAGGGTAAGACATCTCCGCTATAGACTGTTTTTCTGTCCGCGTTTTCCACTCCCCGCCAGCGCCACCGCCGCAGGCGCTAAACTCGAACACGTGGCTCGCATTGAACACGACGCCCCTCCCGTTGACGAAGACGTCGCGAAAAAGAAGGATCGAGCTGTTACCCGTCTCGTCTGTTACACTGGGGGGAACCTCATCGTCAATTGGCTCCTCGGAGCCGCCGTTTTCACCCTCCCCTTCGCACACGTCGCCCACGTGTAGCAACGGCCACGGCCATAGCCACGGCCGCTGGCGACATTGCGTTCGCGAATGCAACTTTTCGTCTTCGCGAAACCGCGAGGCGAATGTTGCGAGATCATTCGCGACGGGAAGCGAACCCTCTCTAGCCTGCGCAGGTGCCGACCACTTGCACGCCGAAACCTCGCTCAGGGTCCCCAAACCTGGTTGGAAGGTCGGGCAGATGGACATTTCCGAGCCGGGCGACTCGGTTCGGCGCTGCGGACGCGGCTTTAAAAGCGGGTGAACAAGCAACGATTCAAGGGAGGCGCCTTCTAGGGGAGCTTGCAGCTGCGTCACGGCCTCCGCCCCTTCCCGCCTCTCACGCTGTGCGTCATCGGATACCTCGGGGTTTCCGACTCTGAGGGAGTCTCGCAACGGTCGTCGTGTAGCGCGAAGCGGGGCGGTAAGGATGGAATGTAGTGGATGCGCTCTATTGTCGCCGGTTATGACGGTCTGACCGGGAAGTACGGACGCTGCGTGCGCGCGATCATGCGAGTTCGGCTCGAATAGAGTAATCGAGAGGAGTAGAAGCGACAAGGTAACTGAGGCTCTCGAGATGAGGCGGGCTCTTCTTTGCTGGTTCATGGCTGCTGGCTGGGTGTTGGCGTTTCGTGCATGAAATGCGGCGAAGGCTGTGTGTCTGATGCTGGAGTAAGAGAAGGGATGATATTCTACTAAACTCGTACGGATTAGATTTAGACCAATAAAATGACGTAGGGAACGAAACACCGACAACGCGGACTCACGGGGCGCGACGGACAGTCCTAGCACCTGGAAAATGTAGTAATCCCCCTAGCTGAACTTCGCTAAGCTCAATATGGGCAGAGATGCTTGTGAGAAGTGGTTCACGAAAATGGCAAGTGTGTGGTCGGGGAATGAAGGAACTTGGAAACGAATGTTGTGCAGCCTGGATTTTGCGCCACGCGGTGCGTGAACTGGAATTTCAGCACCATGTGCGCCGCGAGGGTGGAGCTTGCAGTGTGGGTGGGATGAAAAAGCACCTGATTTCACCTGAAGAAACAGAGCAACTAGCGTAAGTGCCACCTCGAAGCACTTACCAGCTCACATTCAGCCAATAGGCTTTCAAGAGTGGAGGCATGACAGCGTTGAGTTGGGAGTTTGTGGCGGTTGGGAGGTCAGCGCTCCATGTATTTGACATGAAGGATAGCACAACACTGTTGCGAGTATGGGGGAACCCGCTCCCACACTCCCACAATAGCCAACTGGCATCCACTGGTGAATCCCCGGTACAACCTCCTTTTATAGAAGGCATGATACTAGCATACGAGTATTTGTTAAAACGAATAAGTCAATGCTATAGCCGCTGTAGCTGAAAGGGTTGCATAAAAACTATATAATAAAATCTGATATTTAATCCACAATTTTGAGCATGTGAGAGCACGGATCTAGGATTCCTAGTCAAATATTTATTTTTTCACTTCAGATCCTCATAGCTGGAACGTTGATATCCAAGCAAAACTTGTAGTAGAACTCTTTCAAACGAGGGTTTCGTTCAGCTAAGCTGATAGGGTGGCGAACAAATGTCTGGTTGACAGAGACAGAGTTCGGCTCATGCAGAGATGCAGTTAGTGGCGACAGTGGCGATCAGTGGCGACAAAATGGTGCCCAAGTTCGGCAATCACGGGCGGAAATCCATGGAAGCTATCTGAAAATTGGTAACTTGCCGAGCTGAGGCTACATCACACTGGCGGGAACCCCAGTCCACGCGCGGCAGGCCGGCCGGCCCAGTCCTCGAGTCGTTTCTCTGACAATACTCAGATCAGAGGCTAGCACGAGGACTACAATCACAGTTAGAGTGCGAGTACCATCTTGAGAGATGGCTATATCCAGAACTTCCCGCCTCCGAGTCCGTCGCTCTTCTGAGTATACTAACGTGGAATGTCGTTCTTTCTTTCATTCCATAGAACTCGCTAACATTTCCTACTATGGAAAACCAACTGACTATATCACTGACCATGAAATTGCGAAGGACTCATCCCAGTGTAGCGTCAGTTACCCTGCTGTCAGTCCTCCGCGTCATCAACCAATGCAAGCGCTCATTTCATCGCGCACACGCAGCGTTTGAACCACGTCGAACCGTCACAGCCGAAAACAGTCAGCCGCAACCATTGGTGCCCATTCTGTCAAAACATATTGTTCTGCTTATTTCACTCTAGGTTGTGTAGGGTTCTTTCCTTAGAGGGTACAACATTCACTCTCGATAGTCCTTGTACCCCCCCCCTTACCTAATCGATCATTCTCACCTAGCTCCTAGCTTTAACATGGTATTAAGAGCGAAATGCTCCTAAGGATAAAAAATTTTAACGGGCCCACCATTACGATTTCGAACTGCTGCCCGAGTCGCGCCCCTAGGAGAAACACGAAGCGCGAAACGCGCCCTAGGCGAGACGTTTTTCTGCCATAGGCGCGTCCCGTCCCCTAGGCTACCTAGTCACGCGCGACCCCTTCTGACCGCGGCCTAGCTGCCCCGTACGCCACTCGCGCGGCCCGTCAGCCCCTACGCCCGGTCCCCCCTCGTTCCTGCTGCTGCGCGCGCCACTCACGCTACCCGCCAGCCCCTAGCGCGCACCTGCTGCGCGCCCCTTGTAGAGCTGCCCCGCGTGCACCTGTTGCGCGCCCCTGGTTTGCACGCCCACAGCCCACGCGCGCCTATTGCTACTACGCGCCGCCCAGCCCGAGCTGTCACTGCTGCTGCTACTGACGCTACTGCTGCTACAGCTAGCGCTACTCACTGCTGCTGCTACTGAAGCTAGTGCTGCTACAGCTAGTGCTACTCCTGCTGCTGCTACTACGGCACTTGCTACAGCTGCTACTGACTGAGGCTACTGCTGCTACAGCTAGTGCTACTGCTGCTGCTGCTACTACCACACTTGCTACAACTGCTACTACTGCTCTGCCACTGTGTCCGAGCCGCGCCGCCCAGCCCGAACTGTCACTGCTGCTGCTACTGAAGCTCCTGCTGCTACAGCTAGTGCTACTACTGTTGCTGCTACTACGGCACTTGCTACTGCTGCTGCTACTAGTACGGCACTTGCTACTGCTGCTGCTGCTTCGCTGCTGCGTCCGAACTGCTGCTGCAGTGCTGCTGCCACCTGCACTGCCCTGCTACTGCTGCTGCTACTTGCTGCAGCTGCTCCTCCTTGCTGCTGCTACTTGCTGCAGCTGCTCCTCCTTGCTACTGCTGCTGCTACTTCTTGCAGCTGCTCCTACTTGCTGCTGCTGCTGCTGCTGCTGCTATTGAGCGCCGACTGCTGCTGCTACTTGCCGCTCCTGCTCCGCCACTAAGCCCGAGCCGCGCCGACCTGTCCGAGCCGCGCCGCCCAACCTGAGCTGTCACTGCTACTGCTGCTGCAACTACTGCTGCTACAGCTAGTGCTACTCGGTCTACTACTGTTGCTGCTGCTGCTGCTGCCCGAGCCGCCCTGCTACTGCTGCTGCTGGAGGGAGTACTGCTGGGAGTGGTGGAGGTGCGGCCTCCCAGCCCCACCGAACCGCCCTGCTGCTGTTACTACTGCTGGTGCTGCTACTTGTGCTACTGGGAGTGGAGGAGGTGCTGCTGGGAGTGCAGGAGGTGCTGCTGGCGCTGTAGGAGCTAGAGGTGCTGGACCTACTCCTGACAGTTACTTTCTGTCATGGCCACTTCCGCGGCAGTTGCTGCGGCCAGGGGTAGACAGCAGCAGGCACTGCTTCTCCCGGACGACCCCACCCCTCGGCAGCTTCGTGAGTGGGTTATTCAGCGAGGTCGTCCTGGTGGTGGAGGTTATCGTTCTGTTAGGACCGCTGCTCCAGGTGCTAGTGAGTCTGCCGCCGCTCCAGGTGCTAGTGAGTCTGCTGCAGCTCTAGGTGCCCGTGAGTCTACCGACGCACTAGGTGCTAGTGCGTCTACTACCACAGGTCCTGCCTCAGCTGAGGTCTTGCACACTTTCACGCTTGACTCAGGTGCGTCACGTTGCTTCTTCCGTGATTGCACCACAGTCACACCACTCACAGCACCTGTCCCAGTATCACTGGCTGACCCCTCTGGGGGCCCAGTGGTTGCGAGAGCCTCCGCGGTCCTCCCTTGTCCAGCAGTCCCCTCCGGCTCTTTGTCAGGTCTCCACCTCCCCACGTTCTCGACGAACTTGGTAAGCAACGCTGCCATTCAGGATGTCTGGGTTGATACCTTTATTTCTGGAGGGCAGCGTTTGGCGATCTGTACGATCTGGCCGTCACCTGGCTATGTTCACTCGACAGCCTGGGTCTAGTCTGTACGCACTGACCACTGCGTCTGCACAGGTGGCTGAGTCAGGTCAGGTAGCTGCGTCGACTCGAGCGTCTGCGTCAGGGCAGTTAGCTGCGTCTTGCTCGTGCAGAGTAGTCATGCACGAGACTCAGCGCTGGCACCACCGTCTTGGTCACGCCTCCCTGCAGCGTCTGCGCGGCATGCACTCCCGGCTCTTGGTCACTGGCCTCCCTGAGACCCTGCCCCCCCTCCCGCGCTCACTTGCGCCGCCGTGCCTTCCTTGCGTCGAGGGGCGGCAGCGCGCCGCTCCTCACTCCTCCGAGTTTCCTCCGACCACTGCTCCTCTACAGACTCTCCACCTGGACGTGTGGGGCCCGGCCCCCGTCGGTGGGACGGACCAGGAGCGCTACTTCCTGCTGGTTGTTGACGACTACACACGCTACACCACAGTCTTCCCCTTGCATCGCAAGGCGGACGTCAGCGGAGTTTTGAT